AATCGAGTATTGTAGCGCGGAAATCGGATCGTAGGTCGTCGTCGCGTCAACGATTCGCGTCAACCGATCGCGCGTCAAAATCTATAGCCGCAGTTATGAGCGCGCATTATATCATGAAGCGCAGCTGTATATGCTTCGCATGAGTACTGAGAATGCCTTTGATACATGACCATGATCTTGATACGCAAGATCGCAGGCCATTTTTTACGGGCCCCGACACTTAAGAATGTGCGTACACGTTAAATCGAAGCGAAACGTGAAAAAAATCGTCGTGAATCATCGCGCACGGGCAGAAGCGACGAGCCGATACGTGTCGGTGTATTATCCGCGTCTCCAATGTTATAATAAATGACCGCGACGTTGCGATATGTTAATCATTTTTTTTCTGTTTTTTTTTTTTTTTTTTTTTTTTTTTTTTTTTTTTTGTGAAACTTGCGAGTTTCACTTCTCTGCATATGTACGCACGAGCACAGAGCTCAAAGGTGCCAAAACACTCTCGTTCGGATCGTGATTATATAGCTCAAACAGATACTTCTTTGGCGACTTTGTTTTGCATCACACTTTTTAATAGATCAAAACCAAGTCATTCTTTCAAATATGTATATCCCATTACTCGAGATGTTTTCATTTCTTCTTTTCCTTTTCGTCAATATCTGCCATAAATATGAGTAAAGCTTGGACTGCAGCTCTTGGAATTACATCACGCGTATATAACACGCATAAAACGAGGTGCAAATTCAGGGAATGCACTCGCGACTTTTCACCGAATTTCACTCGCTTTATGTATGCTGTACGACTTATGTAATTGTGCGCCGCGATCGCAAGCACATATACACGACGTATAATGCATATACGTGCATATAGTACAACGCGCCAGATCTGTGGCCCACGGGACTTGGGTCTTAATTTCTTTTCTTATACTCGCTGCCGCTGTTCCTTTTTTTTTCATTCGCGTTTATTTCGTCCGCGCACGCAGGCAGCGCACGACGGGTTGTGACTCGCGAGTCGAAATGAAAATTGCTCGCGCGCGCCCGATGCAACAAGTCGATATGGAGTTGAAATTTTTCGGACACTCGTTTTGGCCGCGCTTATTTAAATGATCGTGTATCGCGCACTTACACGCGAATGGAAGATTTTGGTAAGCAGCTGTAGCGGTGGTGTATTTTGTAGCCCGCGAGTACATTATAATATTGGAGTGCACGCGCCAACTGCATGCGACGATGGCTTCATTTTCGAATGTAATCAAGAGACTTTGCGCACTTATTTTTCTCTCCCTCTCTTTATCTCCTATATAGTATAAAGTTCCACGCTGATAAATCATCGGGAGCATCGTGATTTCGTCTGACTATACATTTTTCATGGTCCATTTATAACCAAAGACTAATTGCAGTTGGACTTTGTTGCATCACTGCAGCGGTGTGGCGGCTCTTTTTTTCTTTTTTTTAACCAACTTTCGACCGGTATGCCACAAATATCTACGCAACTGTACCGCACTAGCCCCGATAAAACGACACAAGGATAACTTAGAGAGAAAAAAAAGCCATAAAAGTTGCAATTCTGGCAATAAGTCGCTGCACGCGCGTAGGTGCGTTAACCGCGGCTCGCAAAATTTAGCCAGTTCCAGTCGAGTTTATTCCCGCGTCCTTTATTGGGCATTCCTCCGGTGGCTGCTGCGATAATAATCGCTGTCGCGCTATATGAATGCATAAAATTACTCTTGTATATATAGATATCCAGTTTTGTCCAGCTGCAGTCGACGAAATTCGCCGTCGTGTCACGGGCTTATTTTTAAAACGCCGCACAGACTCGGAATTCGCTCGGCGGCTCCATGTCCGAGTATAAAACGCAATGTCTATTTTGCTGCTGCTGCTGCTGCTGCTGCCGCCGTTTGCTGTTCGTGCAGCGACTGACAAAAAACTCGACATCAATTGAAAATGTTGGAAAGAACATAAACGCGCGCACGCGTGTGTGAGTGTGCTGCATACCGGTAATACCGCATACTTGGGCAGCCACATTTATGTATCACATATGATACTTTGTCTCTCGGAGGACTACCGGTCGACGATATATATGTACGCGCCGAGTGTATAATAAAACGAATCAGTCTTTGTGTTTCATGTACTTATATTCCGTAGAACATAAAAAAGAAAAAAAGCAGTATACACGCGCGCATCACCGTTGAGATTCCCGAAGGTCCGAAAAAAGGAGTAGTCGTATATTCACTAGTACGTCTAAAAACCGCGACTAGACGAGTCAAGAGCATTGTCTACGTACGCAAATATTTGCCATAGGAAGAGCGCACGCGGCCTGAAAGGAGACGTTCTTCTTCCGCTTTGTTATGGCTCGAGCTCGACTAATACACAGCTCGTACAAAACGTGGTGTATATAGGCTTACAGCTATCTAAGAGAGCCCCGGCGCTTACGAGCGACCGACTCCAATTTCGTTTGTTTCACCGAGAAAGTTTTTACTCGGTGGTGCATAAGTAGGTATATGAGTACATAGATATACGTACACAAAGGTATCATAATCTGCGTACGGCAGCCACTTTTATTTACTTTTCCTTTTCACTTTTGACAGCTGATAATCTTTGTATAAATAAGAAGACGTTGACCGTTTTGGAGAGTCTTCTTTCATTCGAACGCAAGTGGATTACGCTTTGAACGATCGATATACAGCTACTTCGGCTGCAATAATCCTCGTTATTATTGGACGCTTATTGGTCGCGTGGATAAAGTCGAGCCGAGCTGATTCAGTCAACACCGCCGCGTGTTTTTTGCCTCTTTTGCGATCCGATCCGCAGCTTAAAAGCATACCGAGTATATAAACGCACGTTGAGCATAATTGCAGAGATGTACCGTTTACGTATTCGCCTCGCGCGCGCCGCCACGGCTAAGCGTGTAACAGCGAGAGTTCATTGTACACGTTGTTATTTGCATGTAACGCCGTCTTTTTTTTTTCCTCTTTCTCTCGCGATTCGGTATGTGCACGCCGTACAACGTATAGCGCGTTATACTCGCGAACGTCTGTACTTGTCTAGGCATGATGTATTGCATAGCGAGTAGGCTAGCTCACGAGTAATTAGGATTGACAGTTAAAAAGGTCGTTTTTTTGTCGCGAGCTCAACTCAGACTCGAGCTTAGAAACATAGAAAGTCGACGAGTGAAAATTTCTTCCTCAAATCCCTCCACCGTACGTATATTATCAAGTCCAAACGTACCAAAGTACATTTGGGTACATTTCTTTTTTTCAATGCCGTCCGCGCCTAAGTGTAAGTGCACGCAATCGCATTCGCGTCGATAAATCCATTGTCTCGAGTCGAGCGCGCGTACATGCGCAGCCAATTCTCGCTTGCGCACTTGCGCGCGCGAGCTGCCGAGCAGCGATTAGTTTTGCGCAATTGTGCATAATCACGATACATACATTGTATCGATGAACTTCCCCCGCGCGTCAAAGATGGACTATCTCTATTTTTTTCTCCTTCTGGCCGAACATCTGCGCGCGCTATAATAGCCCCCATAATAAAATTTTCCTCGTTTCCCGATACGCGCCGATATGCGTACGCGTTCGTTTTGCCCGCGCCTCCTCGCGAGCTCGCTCTGTATTTCCTAGTACTATGTCTTGTATTAAAGCACGAGTGGAAATCAACGCGCGTGGATATAGTAAGAGTATTATATTTTGCGGGCAAAAATTATCGATTCGAAATGAAACGAAATGAAATATATACGTACGATACGAGGGAGCATTATTATTATATAGGCATGGACGCGCCATAGTTGCGCGGCTGAAATTTATTAATGTCGTTTGTTACAAGCTAATATCACGAGCGCTGTACATCGAAGAAAAGAAAAAAGACTTTCTATAACAACTTTATGCTCTCTGCCTATGTTGCCTACAAACATATAAGCAATGCGTTTCGCCGCGTGCGTTTATGTACGTATATATTATCGTATACGAGGCATTACGTGACTCGATAATTTTACCCTTGCCTGCGTTAACGCGCCTGTCTGCGTGCGTACTCGGCTGCTCTACTTTTCGCTTTCATGGACCCGCTCTTACTGTGCCACACATTTATAATACAATTTAACGCACAATAATGTATGCACGTGTGACTCTCTGCGGTCTATACCACTAATGTAAGAATCGCCAGCGATGGGCGATACTAATTTTACTTTATTCCAATTCATCCAATATTCAATTAAAAAGGAAGACACGTACTCGGATATCGTTTTGATTTCTACGAAACGAGCTTGCGGGAAGCTGCGCGCACGAGATCATTTCGGAGTTTCGCGAGTGAGAGCTGCTGCTGCTGCTGCGCCTATATACACATCGCCCGCAACATAACGCCGCGCGAGAGCTGAGATATTATTATAATTAGGTCTACGCACGTACATACGTACATTTGCAGTTTTACACGAGCCTCGCCGAGAATTCGCACAGGTTATTCCGAAAGGAAAAGTTCTAGCCGATAACGTAAAATGTATAATATATGAAAATAGTAAATCGGTGCGAAATGTTGTAAATGTATTATATTATACACGTATGTTAGGCCCTCGCGTGAATCGCGAGTCGAACTTTTGAACGCTCGAGAGACTCGACACCGAATTTCGTAATGCGCCATACATAAGGCATACGCTTATATTATCTCTATACGTGGAAAACATAATAACCGATTCGTACCGTAAATATGCTGTTATATGTGTAAAAATTACATCATTGATATTTTCAACTCTAAAATATTATACAGGCTATTGTTTTGTTTTGTTATCTATATCGAGCATTCATTAATTTTGCAGATTTGGCCGTTTAAAAAAAAAGAAGAGGTAAAAAATTGGTACACGAAGTAAGTGGGCCCATCGCGTCAGTGGGACTCCCCTCTTCCTCGTCTCTCACGGCTGCGCGAGAGAAATCATGCCGCTGGCCTGAGCCCAAAGGCCGGCCCCCCAGAACGGAAAATCGCGAGGAGCGTGAATTCAGTCGATTTGTCACGATTAGCAGCAGGATGCCGAGAGTCAACGTTCTCCTAGCGGTGCTCCTCCTTGCCCTTGGTAAGTACATGCGGTATAAATTCATCCTGCGCGAAGTTTCGACGATCTCGCGCGAGATTTTTTTTTTCACCGCGTAAAGCAACGAAATGCGTTTGTATCAAGGTACGCGTTATCGGACAAGCGCATCGCTTGTACGCGTCGGGATTTCGTTATCCTTGAAAAATAATGCAGCGTGTGTCGTTGCGCTTCTCGTGCCTACACACACTCGTATTTGTATAAAAAATAAAGTCATCGAACAACTTGAAAATGCGCATGCATTACGTTACAGCTACCATCTCGTTGATATGGCGCGCATACCAAACTTATAATTGTCAATATTAATGCGACTTTCGTGCATACAAAAAATTCGATGAGCCGCGGCTATTTTGAAACTTGCGGAGAGAATCGTTTTTAACTCATAATTATGCTCTCGCTGCCTTAATATATGTAGAGTGGCCTTTGTGCCTCGCTAAATTACAGCTCCACCTTATACAGCTGCATATATTTATATATATAGATACGCACGACATCCGCATTGCGTTTGCTCCGTCGTAAGTTTTATCGCGCTGTAGCAAAGCACGTGTTGCGCGACACGTATTGTACGCGCCGCATTGGAATTGTCAAAGGACAATTTTGCACAATGCCTGCGCCCGTACAGGTCGGTCTTATAGGGTCAATTATCCTCGTTTCTACCACGGCGCATCCGTCCGAATCGTGCGTTAAAAAAAAAAACTAATTATTTCGTAACGGCTAATAAAAAATCAAAGAAAAGAAAAAACAATGAACGCCAAGCCTTGGTAGAAAGTTTGAGTCTAGTATCGAAGCCAATACATGGGTGGTGCACTGCTGCGCCACGATCGAGCGCTTCGAATGAAATCGTTATATATATAGGTGTTGGTATCGGCGCCACTGGACTCTCGCGCCGCGTATACACGTGTAGTCGACCTCACGTGCTGCACCGCGCGCGTACACACATGCATATTATCATACACTTCTTACATCGTATATACATATCTGCGCACCTACATGGGAAAGCGAAAAAAAAACAACTATAGGCATGCGTGGCGCAGACTCGCGCGCATATTATAGGAAGTAACTCGCGTGGCGAGCTATATATAAGACACATTCATGAGGCGAAACGTTACACATTGTGTATACTTTTACCTATAAGCTCTCTCTCTCTCTCTCACGTGAGTGCTATATGCTGGCCGGTTTGTTGTGCCTGTGAATGCCTATATGCGCGCGGGCTGCAGTATACAGCAGTATATATCAAGGACAGTTGCTTAGAGTATATACTTAGCTTGGCTATAAGGTGACGCATTGTCCGCACTCTCGACTTTATGTAGGAGCTTTTGCAATCTCCGCGCACCAGCTTGCTCGCGATCGCACCTAGCTATACGTAGCTAAATACACACGGCGAATACCAACTTGGACGAGGCTTTTGGCGGCCACTAGTGCCTCGGTTTGACTCAATTTTTTGTCCATCTCGAAGACTTTTTTTTCGGGTCTTGAAATATTCTTCGGCAAAGCGGTGTACGCGTTCGTTAGCGGCACGACGCCTCGATCGACATCCAAAAAGGATTGCGTCACATCGAATTTATGTTTATTCTATTTTTTTTCTCTATTGGGAAAGCAAATATTCAAAGAGGAATCGGAGCAGTGGCTTTTTTCCGAATCGATGCTCGCATTTCAAAACACCCGCTTGACGATCGTGACGAATGAACTTTTGACCGAACCTGTCCGATGTAAAATAATTACTAAAAAAAAATCTCGTTCCAGTTCTCTCTCTCTCTCTCAGTCGTATTAAATCAAAGCTGCGAGCAAAGAGCGTCAATATGCGTACATTACGAAGATCAGACCGTTTATTCACCTCGTGCGCGGGGCGTGTTACACATCGGCGGCGAAACGAGAAGCTCGCAAGCAGCAGCAGCGACAGAAAAGGCTGCTGTGCTACGGAGATTGTATACATATTACTAGCCACGCAACTACACATTATAATGTGCTCGTTCATTATTACAAATTTCTATGACGCAGATTATTATCGCCTGCCGCTGACGACGCTCTTGCATATACACACATACACATCGCATATACACATTATAATGTATGCATTACACATTGCGCACTCATTAATATAATTCGTCGCTTTTATCGGCTCTCTCTCTCTCTCTCTCTCGGGATAGTGAGTCCGCACCACTGACTCTTCGTACTGTAATGCGTGCATGATGATAATACGTAATGTACATAAACTGCGCTTCGTTGATCTCGCGACGACGACGGCGATGATCGCGTGTTTGCAGCGGCCGCGGCAGAAGCGGAGTATGTGTAAAGCCGCACGCACGCACCAAATGGAAAAAATATTCGAACAACGTCTCCCATCCGCGGCGCGCGACCATGTGTGCGTCCAAGACGATGATTTTGCAATATGAATATTGTAACGTATGTGTGTACGCGAGTTATTACCCGTATCTAACAATAATTTGTATACACACATATGTATACGATTGACGCGCGCGCTCGCCTTTCTCAATGAAATTAAAAAGAGCGCAATATCGTTTTTTTTCTCGTCTTTATCGCTCGGCGTTTACTCGGTGGTAATCGCCAGCTTATCGATGCACACACTCACGGGACTTTTCGACCGGCGAATGTAAGAAGAAGATATATCGTAAGAGAGCCAAGTAGCGTGCACGTGCATGTACACGCGCACTTGAAGATTCGTGACTTATTATTAATTCTCGGAAACTTGACCTATGAGGGCGTGCCGATCTGCTGCCGCGCGGCCAACTGCTCTTTCGAATCTTTCTTTTGCATATTCTCGCAGCAATCGCTCGCGATTCGTTATTATATCGGCATGCCTCGATACGACGAATCGCGACTCTCAATGAACAACGCGTGCCAAAGTATCGAGGCGCATTATTATATTATATACATCGATCCGATGCTTTTTTCGATCGTCGAGATCTTCTTTTGATATGCGTGGAATTCGTCGTATATATAATGCGACAATCGAGCGCGCTCCGCAGCACAAATATAACGATAACAAAAACACCGAGGGAGCGATGACTCGTTCAAAAATATACATTCAAAATATTTGCTCGCTTTGCTGGCTTGCGCGCGAAAAACAATCACCGCGATATTATTATTGCGCGGGAGCCTGGATTAACAATCAAAAATATACATCGAATTGACTCGTTGCTTTATATATTTGATTTCGCTTATTATTATGAGCGCGAGATGAATATCTTTTTCAACGTTTTTCTTTCATCGAGCAACAATACGCACGAATAAGATGAAAATACGATGATTCGAATTTTAACTATTTTGTTTTTCACAATTCAGCTGCAGGTTGCAATGGGCAAGTGTACACGGGCGCACCGGCTTACGTAGCTTCGAGCAGTCAGCAGCAGCACGAGACGCAGGCAGCCCCAGCGGTGACGCTGCCCGGCCCCATCGAGCCATCCTTGTCCGGATACACCACCCAGACGGTCTATGGATTTCTCGATTTCACCACGACGCTCGCCAACACCGTCATGATTTTCAGCCCGTCGAGCGCACCACCAGGTAAGCCGAATCGATCACACGAATAACAGAAACACAATGGTTTTTCTTTCGTTCAATTAAGTCATTGTTATTATTGTTGATTACAATATGTTACATATAATAGGACAATACTAAATTTAATACAGTGTATCGATATGCGTATATAATAAACAAAGCTGAATAATGATTCATTGGCACGTGCTTATAGAAGTAAGTGGTAAAAAAAAAAGATCGTTGTCGGCAGCTGGTGGCTGGATGATGAGAGCTTCTTGTACGTTGTCATATTTCACGCGTCGTTCCACGTATAATCTCAACGACATCTATCTGATCTCCGGCGTGTAAACGTAGGAAAAGACCTCGCACGAGCAGGGATTCAACAGTTTGGCCGCTTTGAAGTGTCCGTAGAAGCAGTAGGCCTTTGGGTCCTTGCAGATGACCTCTCGGCAGCGCTGATGGTCCCGCGCGGCGCACGTGATCGGTGGCTGGGTCGCTGCGAAAACGAAAACAAAAGCACAAATCGTGATTAGATGTTCAATACGGTTTTCGCGCGCGCAAGAGTAACGATTGGATATTTTCAATGCGAATAATTCTCAACAATGAATTATGGGATAAACGGCAGCTTGCAATGAACGATGCTGCAATGATAAACGCGTAATCTGAGACGTTGTATTTTTTACTTTCCATGTTAGGTATAATATTTTTCTCGAGTCCCCTAACAGAGAATAACATTTTCGTTTTGGGGGCTAACAAATGTCATTCTCGGTATCGGTATCAAAAAAATACTTTTCAACTTCGATGCCGAAGTTGAGGAGAAAATAAACATAACTCAAGTGCGCTTTTTTTGAAATTTCTTTGTGATAGGTAGACACTTTAAAACGAGCTTTTCCCGGAGCTTTTTGTAAACTCCTTAATTTTCATCCTGGATTTCAGTATAATTATTTCAAAAAAGTATAAGTAAAAATTTTGTACTCGAGTTTCGGCATTCTTTTCAAACGGAAACGAACGAGCGAAATGAATGAAATCGCAATTACTCACTCAATTCATCGGTTTGTCGCACGCGGCGTATGTCCCTCGACGACACCGCCACCAACAATAGGCAAACTATCAAAAACTTCACAAACATTTTGACCGCAAAATTTGCCGAAATAAAGCTAATTACGGCGCTGCTGCTCTATGTACTTGCTGCACTGAAACGACTGCAATAATATTAGAAAGATGCGAGTCGGCGCGCACGCGATTCGTATATAATGCTCGATGTATTATGCACACGATTCCGTTCACGCGTCGTTTGGTGAATTAAAGCTGCTGCTGCTGCTGCGTACACACGAGAGATTTTGATGACACTACTACGTAGTACTGTGATGAAACTCGCGACTACTTCACCGCGACGATCCCAACATTTATCTTTTTCCTCTTTGTCTTCCTCTCTTCTTATATATGGATTCTCCGTATGTATGTTGCTCTTTTTCGCCCTCTCTCTTTCTCTCTCTCTCTCTCGCTCTTTCTCTCTTTCTTCTTCTTGCGCGCATTTTGATGTGTACAATACATTATAATATTCGTGCGCGTCCGAGATTACAACTTTCATGCACATACAAACGCACACACGTATGCAAGGGGCAGTAATTATAAGTCTTGCAAAAAAGAGAGCAGAATCGCAAGTAATCGAGAGGGGAATCATTGCGGCTATCGTGTGCAACGATACACGTACGTTGTGTACCGCGCACATCGAAAAATGTTATGATTTACGCAATCCAAGTACCGATGCTCAATTTCATTCCGACTTGTATTTTGCATCTAAAAGCTTTTATGGCATGACAAACATCTTTGACAAAATTAGCTATTGCGCAGTAAGCTCGTTACGCAGTACTTGCTATACTCCAAATTGAAGTAATCAAAAAAAAAAAATGTATATGCGCTCTGATTCATATATATAAGAAATTAGTTAATTGAATTCTAACATTTGACCCCGAAAATTCTCTCTCGATAAACAACGATAAGTAAACATTTTTTGTAAGGAAATATCGCAGCTCTCGCGCAAATTGAAGGAAATTGCTGAAATATTGTAATATCGCCAAGCTTGTAGCTATTCGACGATAACAACGTTTACGTACATGCATGCAATATCCGTGTGAAGTTCAAATCAACAAACAAGCTCTGCGCGGCCGATACGTTATGGACACGATATACGATTCACATCCACATATATCGTAATTTTTCGGTCAAATGTTGTTTGCCGCACCGAATCGGGGACTCTTGTCAAACGGCTTTCAAATTGATGCGCGCATCGGACCATATGCGCTGCGCGCGTCTGGCTGATTATTACATATCGCGCACACATACACACACACATACAGTATGCGAGAAAGACGCACAGAAAGTCCAAGAAGCAGTTTTTGGAAAAACCGAAGCTTCAATCACGCATGAATGTACGCCGAGACGCGAGAAACTTCAAAACATAACATATACGTTAACAAGCGTTTTGTTTATCTTGCGCGTCCGAGGCACGCGATCGCTCGACTAGGGTCCAATTCCTCACTCTCTTTTTTTACTCGCTCTGACACAGAGCTCGATTGGGGATCGTTTATCATCGGAAGTAATTATTCAAAGTGCCATATAATACACGCATAGTGCGTGCGCAAAATGAATTGAGCAATACAAATGACGCTTTAATACGTTGCCATGCCAATCGCGTTGCCGACGCGAGTTTACGTATATATAATGTACTCGCTTGCAGCTATAGGACAAAGACGCGCGCGATCGAATCCGGCGTAAACCGGCATGGAAGAAAAGGGTGAAAGACCATTGCATCTGATAACTCGAGCCGCGAGTAATTCATCCGTGCCCGATAACGATTCGAATCGTTACGAAATACCGCGCCAATGGATGAAAAATATAATAATAGAAAAGTAAAAAGGGAAAAAATCTCGAATAATTCATTTCCTCGGCTGCACGCAAGGATCGTCGCGCAAGCGTGACGAAACCTCGTTTCAATTGCGTAAGCCATATCCTAATTTCTGCCAGCGAATTTTTAATTATCTCTCCGGTTCGTCGATTAAAACGTGCGATCGAGCGCATAATGTGGTATATAATGTACACAATCCGAGCGCAATCGGCGAGTCGTGAAAATGTCATCGGGGGTAATAAAAATTAAATAAATTACATGAAAGGATGATCGTTAACGAAAACAGCATAGCAGGAGGCTCGCAATCGCGCGCGCGCGATATGTAACCGAATGAATTTCTCCATATTATACGCGTTCGCCCGATGATGGGCCATGCATCAGCTCATCCATCTAAATCACAATAAAGCTCGCAACACGATAAGGAATCGTTTTTCATTGTAATCGTAAAACACGCGCGCTCGACACGAGGTCAAATCTCGCACCATCGTCGAGCCTACGTTCCTGATGCGCATTTAAATACGTGCGTAAAAATTTGGTCGTTCGGACATCATGCGCGCACGTAAATCATTCGAAGCTCGGTCCGATGTAGGTGCGAAAGCTTTTAAGGAAATTTTTATAAATCGACTCGTACTGACACGTACGTATGTGCGAGCTGTGGTATAGTAGTGGAAGTAAGCACATTCGCGAAGCTGCGTCACGAATCGAGCGTGAAAGTTCCGCGAGCGAATTTTCCATTCTATGTGTGCAGTGCATTCGGGCGCTCGCCACTGCTCTTGTTATTAAGTATTGCTTTCACAAAAATAATACGATACTAATTGACGTCCGTACGCGGCCACTAGAGTTCGAGCCGAGTCCGCGTTATACATTTCGAGAGGAGAAAAAAGAAGGCCATTGAAAATTTAATACGAATTTTCCGTATGAATGAAGAATAAAGTATTTAATTAACTCCAGTTATTATTACGCGTTTAATGTCCATGCGCGCGCGAGTATATATAAATCGCACATACACACGAATGTGTTTATACATACAGAGGGAAACATCAAAACGAGAAAGCTTAAATTGTTGCCGCAGTGAATTATATATATCGTTTTAACGTTTTAATGCTCGAATCAAAATGGAAACTATGGCGCGTCGCTGCTGCTTGGCGCGTGAAACCAGTTTTTCTCTATACGTCGAAAAAAGAGAAAAAAAACCATATCGACTGGCTACTAGCGAAAAGTACGAGAAAAGCAGTTCACAATTTATGTATTTCCCAACGTCATAAAGTATCAAGCAGGGGCAAATTACACCGTCGAAAAATTAAACCTCTTTTTTCCTTTGTTTATTCGGGGTAAACGCGGCTAAGTATGTGCAAATTCAAATTGTTTTCTTTCTTTTATCATCATTATTATTGTCATTTTTTAATGCGCCCGCGACCGCACGACAAAAAATAAACCTCTAACTCGCGTGTGGATCTGATCATCGTCTTTGCTGCGGTCAATATTGTCGCAACATCTCCTATGCGAGTCTCGAGATTAATGACTGAGCTTATACAAATATAAATATTATTCTCTTTTCTCTCTCACACATACTTTCGTATTATTGTTTGTATTATATACTGGCCCGAGAGATGCTGCGCAGATCGTTGCGTAGCGTCTTATAATCTGTAACGTATAGAGCGGTAGCGGCTCGATCTCGAATATATAGTATATTATAAAATGTTCTTTTTTCGTCGTGTCTTTGATCGCTCGTTATTGAAGCTTTTATAAATTGGCGGGAGACCTACGCACGACGACGAATATAAAAACAATTTACATGTATACATTATCAGATAATAAAAACCACGAGTTTATGTACATTGGTCAATCGAAGGCGATGTTTTTATCGTCTCGCGTAATAAATTAGTCAATCGAGACTGCAGCGGAGCTCCTTTCGCACGCGATCGCCCGCTGCTACGCCCGCCTGAACCGCCGCGAGCTTTTCGCATTCGCCGATCTCGGCAGCTGCTGCTACGGCTCTGAAAAATTCCTTTGTGCGGCCAAATCGTCGAGTTGTTTCCGCACTCGGCAATTATCGAGATCGACCCCATATCTTCGCGGCTGAAAAATATTTGTCAATCTTGGTACACATCGAAATTTGCAATGAGTGCAATTACATTCATTGATTCCGAAAAGGGCTGTAGTGGCAATAGCGTTGCATCAGCGTGTGTATGCATATAATGGATCAATAGAAGCGTTTGAGTATATACACGTGTAATGTACGGCCTTTACGGCATGTGTGGTATTGCACGCGTTCGCTTGTCTCGCCTCTAGGCTCTTTTTCGCGAGAGTAAATTGTGTATTCTGAAATGTCAAGGTTTTCACTTCGTCATCGGTCTCACATTGTTCGCCGACGACGACAGAAGAACGTAATATGTTTTATACATATATAAAAGCATACGTTTGAGCATCGTACGTCGATGCATAGCAAGTATAATTCTTACTTTGCTATATGGTGCACCACTGCGAAGTGGCTACTTATGACCATTTTAATGAGCATGCGAGATTTAATCTATAATATTCGTAATTCGTAATTATTAATACCATAAATAATGAATCATATAAAAGCTAATTTTTTAACGTGCAGCAGACGTAAATAAAAATCGAGCATATTATTAATAATATCGTGACGTTTCAATCATACTTTTGATACGCATAAATTAAGAGTTTCAAAACATGCACCACCCGACGACTTGTGCACCAATCAATTCGTTCTTTTCGATCGTACTTTACGGCCGTCGATTTTTTCAAGAAAATACATGGCGTACCGCGGGAAGCTCGAGACACCATTCGAAAAAGGCATAATTTTATATTTACAACGAGCTGATGTTTAATAACGATAATGACGAAATTAATTTACGGTGAAAATAATCATCGCCTCGCGCTGCACTCCCAAGACGATCCGCTCAGCGAGTGCATTATCGTACTTTTATTCCATAGAATTATCGTCGAAGATGCAATTTACAAGTTTATTCGCGCGATATTTTTACGAGATTTATCGCGCATAAATTAAAACGATAAACAGCAATTACAATATGATACTCGTCTTGTTGCGTTCGAGAGATACCCATTTTCGATTACGGCAAGGCGACAAATTTATTTCAATTAATTTGAAAAAAATCGTATTTCTTTTGCAGAAGGCTCGAGGGAAGGAAAATCCGAGTCCGGACCGATCGAGACGAAGCCGAGCGCGGAGAAGAAGCCCGTCGATCCGATACAGCCGAGCAAGACCCGACACGACTCGGTCGTCGCCGAGACGAGAAAGGACGACGTGCAGGACTCCTTCCATCGGGGAGTCGTCTACGCCGAGGTTTGCAAACGACACATAATTTAATACGCAACGCGCAGCGCAATTTTTTGAGTACGAGTCGAGCGCACGAAATGCAAAACAGGGCGCGATGATAATTCGTCGAGGAAGAAACCTTGGCTGCGATGAGTACATTTTTCTCAGGGGAACCTTGTTCTGTATTCCGCTTGAAATTATCTCTTGCAAAAAGTTAACGTAGTTTTGACAAACTTTTTCTTTCGAGTTATGTATTTCTTTTTGAAGTTAAATCAGTCACGTTCAAAATACTTGCAAACAGTACAGAAAATATCCAATTTTTACATACATACATTACTCTTAGCTGATAAAATTTAGAAAAATGAAAGTTTGTCAGCATTTTGTCTCGGATGTCGGAATAAAATTAATTTGTCGCGAGAAAATAATATAAATGTACAAATATTTTTATCAAACTTGGTTCTCTACTCATCGGAGCCAACATTCATTCTTGCGGGATCAAATTTCAAATAAAAAAAAAAGTGCTGAGCCATCGAGCGCCGCTCTCAGGAGAGGATTAATAAACGATCTTTCGGTCTCGCGATGGTCGCTTCGATTGATATTTGGCAATAAGTCGAACGACATACCACCCGCAAGCGTCAATGCTCGCGTATCGGCGAATCGATTGTCCTCGCGCGTGCAGACGCACGAGAAAATAAAGAGAGACTCGTCGCTTCGTACAATATACGCGCGTCTTTTTCTCACTCTTACACACGAGTCTCAAAGTTGCAATAACAATGCATCACGCGTTCCAGAGCAACGAGATCTCTCTTACATATATGTGTGTGCTGTACTCGTGTACGTTTCGTGTTGCGCGCACTCCTCTTTTCGGATACGCAGTTGAACGCGAGCGCGGATAAAAAAAATCTCTCTCTGTCGAATGAACTTCGACCCCGTGTGCGAGCATCTCTCGAGCTCGTTGCCTCTCGCGCGCGCGCGCGCGGTTATGCAAACCGGTTTCGAGTGCTCTCCGTGACTCATTGAAAAATTCCTCCTGCGTAACTTTTTTTTTGTTTCTTTTATTTCTTTTTGTTCTGCCCCCGTCTTTCTTCGTGCACACGAGCTTATCAATAACTCAGCGCTGAATATGTGTTTTGTTTTTTATTCTCGCCTTCGTGCTGCTCGTCGTCTCAATACGTGTAATGTGTCGTTATACACAAAAGAGCGAGAAAACAGCAGCGAGGATCGATGCTTCGACGGTCAATCCAGCCGTATCGACTGTCGTCGAGGTGCGACTTAAGGATGACGTGCCCGGCGTTAAGAATAATCTCGCCGAGCCCGAGTACGACTTCCTGTCGAAGCAACCGACCGAAGTCGTCGATGAGACCTACAAGGTACTCTCACCTTTTTTTTCTTTACATCATCACCTCTTTGCCGATGCGATCCTGCTGAAATTCCTCATTATATGGCATGTTACATCTTAATGAACCCGACGACGACGGCACCTTATCTCACCTATGAGCACACACGCAGATGACTCCTTTTTTTTTTCGACTTTTTTTTCGTTACGACGTTTGACAGCTTTCTGACTGTTGCACAATTTTCTCGATCTTTTTTCACACTCCATTTATAGTATAGTTTTACGCACGTCCTCCTCTGGCCAGATCGCACAATGCGCGCGAGCGTCAAATAATAGCCCGGAGCGCACCGTGCGAGATTCCTCTTTGTAATATCCCTCTTTCTCGATTGCAAAGTGACACGAGGCGTCGTTTAATTACTTTTTATATACAAAATGAATGCGACTCGTCGACACTCGCACGCCTTTGGTCATTTTATTGCTTTGTTTACTTTCAATACAAATTGCTTTTATAACGCTTTTAGCATTCCCTCCCGTAGCTCTCATTATTAATGTCTAGACAACGGCTGTGCATTTATTTATAAAGTCGCGCAGATTTTTCTTTCCTTCTCGTCTCTTCTTCCTTTCCTTTTTTTTCTTTTTATTGTTGCTGTATTTCTTTGCACGACGCGCACTGCGACTCGTTCAGCTCGAATTTCGCGTGTACACGCATTAACGTTACTGCACGTACGTAGACTGGAATAACGAACGCACCCACTCGGACGTAAAAGACTCTTACATACACACGCTGCATGTGTATACGCACGCATTTTCCCATACACAGCTCGTTGTTGAGTATCGCAACTCGGGCATTGTTGTTATATATATTTATTAATTTATTATTATCATTATTATTATTATTACGCGAGCGTAATACGGAACGCGCGGAGAAGGAAAAAATAAAAGTGTACATACCGATCTCGGGCTGTATAAATTATATTACGACCTCGATTTTGCAGCAGCCGCGCCGGGAGAATATATACACTGCACGCGCTTGTATTATATGGTATTCTGTAACGCACAGCTGCGGTGCACAGCGCCTGCGTAATAATCGTATAATTGATTGGAAAATAATTATATGCGTGCTCTTCGCGCCGCTTTGTTCTCGCGCGATGATTTTTCCATATAGAATACCTTTTTTCGTTACCGATTTTGGCCGATTATCGGTCGCGCCGTTGTAAAAGTTATCGTCCGCAACGAGTCGACACTCTGGCGAGTGAAAGACGATCGCGTGTGCAGCGTCTCGATACATAAATCTTGATCGTCTTCCCTTCGTGTTTCACCCTTGGCCACCGACGTTACATGTAGGTGATAAACTTGCGACCGTCGGCGAAGCACTCGAAGCCGAGAGCGACTCAGCGCCGCGACAAGGAGAACGTGACGGGCTTCGTGACGAAGCTCGGCGGCACCATCATCAAGGACGGCCTCACGACGGTGCACGAGACCAACGTCATCGGCACCTACATCAACGGCAAGTACGCCCAGGTGCTGCAGAGCTCGTCGCGCGTCCTCAACGCGGCGCCGGCCCCGAACGGCGTCGAGGGCCAGCAGCCGGGCGGCAAGATCCGGCCCAGCGCCAGCCAGAGGATACTCAAGACGGCCGGGCCCCTCGGCAAGATCAAGAAGCAGCAACAGCAGCAGTTGTTGCAGCAGCAGCAGCAACATGGTGAGCTCGAGCCGACGACGCCCGTGACGGCGCAGGCCGCGGACGAGTCGAGCCAGCAGCAGCAGCCACAGGCCAACGCCGACGAACCGATCACTAATAAACACGGTGAGTTCGATGCGGAGACAAGTTTTTTGGACGATTTTTTTTGGCTGAGAAACAAACGATTTCTTTGCTTGTAGACATAAATACAAGAGTCGTCGTTTTAAATTAATTTTTTTTTGATTGAGTAGAATCAAGCGAAAACGACACAATAGCTTATGAATTTTTAAAAATAACTGCGCTCTTTTAGGTCAACGCAGGAGACTGAGGCCGAAGATACGCAAACAGCAGCAGCATCAACAAAATAACGTTGAAAACGTGACGGAGAACGAGAGCGGAGAATCGACCCAGTCGCCCCAGCATCAGTTCAGGCCCAACGGCAAAGTCAGGCCCAACGGCAACAGGCCCGGTGGTTACAAGTGCGTATTATCGCTTTTATATCGTGGAAAATGGCTCGAGACAATCGGTCACCTTATAAATGTCCAGTGCGAGCAAAGATTTATCAGCTTTCATAGATAGATACATACGCAAACGAGCGGATGGAGCGTTTATTAAAATTGATAAAAAAAATGTTTTCAATACGAGTGAAAGTTGGAGCGATGCAGTGAATAGATTATTAGCGGAGACGCCGCGATGATAAATCTGCGCGACGAATGTTTGCCATCTATTATAAACGAGAAATACTTTCTCTGTCACATCTGCCGCGTGTACACGTATTCGCATCCCTACGCAGCAATGATTTCTTTTAACGATCTCGCGCGTGATTAACGAGGAAAAAAATCGAGATAGCATTCGTCATCGGTATTGCTTCGTACGGAAAGAAAAAAAGTATGATAACACTTGTCTACGTGACACACGAACAAAAAAAAAAAGAACACTATCCTTTCGAATGTACACGCACATGCAAATGCTGCGATTTCATAATTACGCGACTTTTTTGCTTTATGCCAACTGCACACGCACGCCTACGAAAGAGTTAGAAAAAAATTGTTTTCGTTACGTGCTGCTGCGAGCTGAAATTAAAAATCGTACACGGCGCGGAAAGAAAATGTCTCTCTCTCTCTCTCGCTTCCAGTCGGTGGACAGCTGCAAAATTTGCGAACCTCGAACTGGAGCCCGCGCCGCCGCAACAAGCCCGCTATGCTTGACAGCTCGTGTTGTACATTAATGATACGTGTAGAGCATGTATATTAACATCGATCGATCGTTCAAAAAGAATTAATGACATAATTAGCCCGAGTTGTAAGTAACATAAAGGCCGTGTGTCTAGTCGAGAGGCTTGTCGACGTTATGTCACACGACAAAAGTCTCGGGGCACGCGAGCCGCATTTTTTTCTCACATAACTACATTTAAATATTATGAAAAATTGCAGGGCGCGTCAACAGCAGCAGCAGCAACAGCAGCAATCGAGCTCGGTAGGCACGACGACCACCGAGGCGCCGAGCTCGAGTGGCGGAACTCGTCGTCGTAGCGGTTTCCGTCCCCCGACGAACCAACCGAATAACCCGGCCAAGTCCTACAAGACCAACAAGCAGTCGCACAGCGAGCAGCAGTCGTCGATAGCCCTGCCGTCGCAGGCGGCCAAGGCCAAGCTGCCGAGGACCCAGGGCCGCTGGTCCTACAAGACGACGCCCAAGCCGCGCATAATCATACGCAAGAAGCCGGGCGGCAGCGACGACGACGTTCAGCTGGTGACCGAGCAGAGCGTCGTGACGTCCGTGCCCAGCCTGGGCAACAGCAATCCTGGACCCCAGTACCAGGGCGAGGACGGGGCGACTCCGCCGCTGCAGCCCCAGCCTGTGGCTCAGAGGAAGGAGGGCGACTTCGACGGCGAGCTCGACGAGAGCGAGAGCGAGGACTCGGTCAAAGTCAGCGTGGAGCACAGCGTCCGGGAGGCCAAGCCCGCCGAGAAGATACTGCCGGTCGAGACGCTCAACGTCGAGATCTCCACGGCCGCCGACTTCAACGATATCTACTACGAGATCGCGACATTGAAGTCGCCTTACGAGTTTCAGGTACGCGTGCCTTCTATAATTTACAATCGATTCTCAGGCTCGTTTGCGCAATATCGACAAGTGCCGAAAATTTGGCTAAGGATTGAACAAAGAAATTCCAGGACCATCGATTCAGTCGTTGTTTTAATTTTATTTTTTGCTTACCATCGCGAGGACGCGAGGACGCGATATATATTCTCATAACGAGACTGCGTAGATACAATGCGTGCTCTGTGTGCAGCTACAGCACAAAGAGTCATTTGTCGTTTTGTCCCGTCACGCTTGGCAGACCTATCGCTATAACGAGATCTTTTATTAACCCTCGATTAAATACAATAAAGGACTATGTGTGCGTACGTTCCATTGCAAAATCAGTGAGGCATTAATACCCTTACCTAAGGACGAGGCTTCCGCGGAGCAATGATTCGTATTGTGGATGTTTTTATTTTTGTTTATTAATTATTAAACGAAGGCAATCTATGATCGAGCATATCAAGGTTGAATTTGAGGTCGAAGGTTAATCGCGTGACTCACGATAATCGGCAGTAGCACGAAAAGATCGGCAATTATATACAGCCGTCTCGTCGCCCGTCGAAATTACCCGTCGATCTCGTGAAAAGGAGGCATTTTTGCTTGGCGCGCGCGCGTGTTTTTAGGTCAAATGCGGCCTTTTTAAAAATTTAATTTTCAATACACACGAGCGCGGATAAATGTATATACATATGAATCGAGAAAATATATAATGATTGCGACGCGCGTACGTATACGGAGATGACGCAACGGCTATTTTAGCGATCAATCATCGAGTTGCCGTAAAGGCATGCACCGCGCGCGAGCCCGCACAAATGGCTATATCCCAATTAATAGCCTTTAATTGCCCCGGTGTATTTACCAACACACACCTTCGCTACGCTGCAACAGTATAGGCAATGTTACAGTATACGCTAAGCCTATACAACGTTCGCGGTAATTCTCGCGCTTTTACCCCGTTCACCCGCCGCGTAGAACTATATATTACAGTCTGCGGCCTATATTTTCTCGCGCGCGAAACATCCAATATTGCGAAGGTGAAACAATCGAACCTTATCGCTGCAGCGCAGGAGAGCTGCTCCGCGCGTTTAATGCCGTCGTCTCGAATAAAATAAAATGCCGCCACCGCAGCTGCTGTCTGAGATACATAATATAGTTGTAAGAAGAAAAAAAAGGAATAAAATGTTTAAATGCGTCTCTTGGCGCGTCGCAAGAGCTATTGGCAGTCGAGCGCAACGAGCGCAGCTCGTTAAATGTAGCACACGTAGCGAAATTGCGCGAGGAGAAAGAAAGAGAGAGATAAAAATCAATGCGAATTGTTGTGTGTTTCTGTCTGGCTTGCTGCTGCTGCTGCTGTTTGTCTGTCTGTCTGGGCGTACTACTACACCTACAACAGGTCGGCAACACCCGTAACACCCGTTACGTCACGGTTACGTCGACGTACAAGAAGTCTTTCGCCAGCGCCAGCGCCGAGGTGAACCCCAGCAGCGTCGGCGCCACCGAGCCGCTCACGGAGAACATCCTGGCCAACACGGGGGCCGCCTACGAGTCGAGCCTGCCCCTGGACTCGTCGATAGCCACCCTGCCGCCCATCAGCATCGACGCCAGCGCAGCCACGCCGCCGCTCGAGACCATCACCGAGACCTTCTCCACGACGCAGACCCTGCTCAAGACCTACCTGCTGCCCGTCGTGCAGAACAACAGCACCAGTCGGCTGACCCTCGTGCAGACGTACAACGTGGCCCGCGTGGTGACCGCCACCAAGACCCTGCCGCCCGCCGAGCTCTACCAGTTCGTGCCCAGCAAGACCCTGAACGAGTTCAATTCGCGCCTCGACGAGGCGGGAAGCGAGCTCCATCTCGAGCTGGACTTTGGCGACGACGAGAGCGACGACGACGACGCGCCCAAGAGGATAGTCGCGCCGAGCACCGACCTCGACTCCGATCTCGACATATTCAAGGGCATCCAGCCGTCGAGCACGGCGAGGAAGGAGAAGAGCACGAGCACCATCTTCGTCACAGAGTCGGCCAGCAGCACCGTGACGCCCGAGCAGGCTCAGCAGTTGGCTCTGTTCAAGTTGCTCGGAGGCTCGGCGCCACAGGTACAGTACTTGATTCGGTTTTTCATTTTTTTTTTTTTTTTTCTCATTGCTCGAGACTAATCGCGACTGTTTTTTATACGCAGGTGATAACGACGTCGAAGCCGGTCATCGTCATGGAGACGGTCTACGACACCCACGTGATCCCGCTGATAAACGGCGGCCACACCTTCTTCTCGACCCTGTCGCGGCCAGTGGCGACCCGACCGATCACCACCTACGAGATCGGTACGTCGACGATCGTCACCCCGATGCCCCCTCTGCCACCGACTCTGCCCCAGGTCCCTCAACTGCCGCTCTTCCCGCCGCCCCAGCAGCCCCAGTTCACGGTGACGTCGGCACCCCTCGTCCAGCCGACCATCGCCACCGTCTCCGAGTCCAAGGTGCTCAAGCTGACCTTCGGCGCCAAGACGGCCTACACTACCCTCTACTCGACCAGGCTCGTGCCCACGGAGATGACGACCTACGTCACGTCGACCATCGCACTGCCCACCGTCGCGGCCTATCCCGGCTACTTCCCGCCGGCGCCGGTCGCCTATCCGGGCTATCCCTACGTCGGCTAGATGCTCCTTGAACGACCGTCGCGACGACGACCAATCTCGCTGTAAAATTTACTTCGTTTCTTTTCTCCTCTCTTGTATTCTCGATTTCCGTGCATAGAGTCGCGAACACAGGGATATCACGCACTGGACAAATTTGGATCGGTGTCAGGGTATTATTCTCCAATTAACGAACAAAACTTCGGCTCGCTTGGAACGTGCGGGCTTCTTCTTTCGCAGGATGTGTAACAAGACGTGAAACGTTCTGCAATATTTTTCGATATATATAGCTATACACACTATAACTTTATGCATTTTTTTACGCAGAGACGCGTTTGATAATGGCGAGTCGTTGCTTCGTCGACTGGAACGTTTAGCACCGAAAGCTCCTCTAGCGTGCAGATTTCCGGACTCGAACTTGGCATTGAAATATACGTATACGTATATCGTACGCGACATTACGTTGCGTATACAATATCGTGTGTCCGTCTGGGCGTCTCGTCGTTGTTTATTTTTTTTTTTTTTATCGCTTGGATTCGCGCGCGGATGCGAAAGGGAAATTGACCGTATTTCGCTCGCGCTCACTTTCGTTCGAGCGCCTCGATCTATATATCGATACATCCCGGAGCGCGAATGTATAACGCGTGCGAGTAAATACGTATACAATCGTCGTGCGGTACCGGCCCGAGAAAAAAAAGTATGTTAATAAGTGTATAGGAAGAGAAAATACCACAAGGGAGAGTCGTGTATCGCGCTATCATTCGATACATACGTATCTGTATATCTGTATATCTGTATCGCGACTCGCCGGTCACTCGTGTTCGTCCTCGTTTTTTATTCTCTCTCTTTCTTTTGCTTTACCCGATATACAGACGATTTATTGTAGAGTAATGAAAATTCGAAATTATAATCGATGTGATTGATCGATTTTTTCCTCGTCTTTATATTTCTTCACTGAAACTTTTCAAAACCTCGTTGTTTGGCTTTAACATTCGTTTAATTTAACTTTTACCGTATAAAGATTTTAGCAGTGGATAAGAATCATCGAATCGTTAAGTATTATAATGAATTAATAAGTTAAGGTCAACAAAAAAAATATATTTTTATTATGATTATTAATGTATTATGTATAGAAAGTGAAAAATTCTTATATTATAAATTTATCAAGTAATTATCATTTTAAATCGACATTAAAATCTTAGCTTTTAAATAAAGCGTAGTTGCTCCCGAAAAAAAGGCATACAACAATAACATGTACCCCGGTGTTACTCGCAAAACTCACGACGTCATTCATAATGTTACGGCTCGTTGCGCCGATAAGATTCAGAAAAATAAAACATTCATTGCGTAATGTACTGCCATTTATAATAATTCACTAGTTGTTCAAAAGGCAAAAATAAACAGCAGAGTACATAAAATCTTCATTAGGAATTCAACGGTATGTATTATTAAAAAAAAAAAAACAATAATTACGAATTATATGTTAATTAAGTGTACCAGTGCCCGCGTTTGCTTATAGAACGTATACTACAAAATTAATTTTGCATCATTCGAGACTAAATTGATCGACGGAAATTAGATTTTTATCGATATTTTGTATACGGTGCTCGCGAAATACTCAAAGTATTGTAAATAATAATATTTTCTATTTTTTAAATCATTTTATTATCATAGGCGTATAATTGTAACGTGCGGCGTAGCATGTATTTATATGAAATTATAAAAATTGTTTATTCATAATTTTTGTAAATAAAAGTTGGAAAATTGAAAAAAAATTTGTTCTTCTTCTACTTTATTGATATAATTTACAAATTTAAATTAAGGTATTATCAATACTGTACATCAACTAAACTTCAACAAACAAAACATACTTTTTATTTGAAATATTAAAACTACCTTGGAACTGTCTTTCTTTTTCATGTTCTTATTATTTTCATCAAAGTGATACTTCAATTTTTATCTTAAAATTGCTAAAAATATGATAAATTATTGTCATTATGTATTGAGATCCATGAAGCTCTTAAATCCCATCAAACAATAAATGTCGACATTCGTCAGAAACATCGCATTTGTTCCCTTGTGTGTGAGATAATTTCTTAGCAAAAACTTTCGATCTCAATCAAATACTATTGATGAATAATGAATTTCCCGTAGAGATCAGCTTTTTTGCCGAAATACAGACGATCGATTAAATGTAAGTACAACGTTTATTTACGTTTATGAGACAAAATATTACCCGTTTAAAGTTCTTTCAGATGCTAAAATCTCGCTTGATTATGATACCGCGTAATAAATGTTAGTATACGCGTTTCTCAGTTAAAGAAATTTCTCGTCCCGTAAAAATTACCATGAACTTTCTAGTGTGAGAAGAATTCTTCATCGCCGTACATGATGATTTTTTTATAAAAAAAAAAAAAAAAAAAAAAAAAAAAAAAAAAAAAAAAAAAAAAAAAAAAAAAAAAAAAAAAAAAAAAAAAAAAAAAAAAAAAAAAAAAAAAAAAAAAAAAAAAAAAAAAAAAAAAAAAAAAAAAAAAAAAAAAAAAAAAAAAAAAAAAAAAAAAAAAAAAAAAAAAAAAAAAAAAAAAAAAAAAAAAAAAAAAAAAAAAAAAAAAAAAAAAAAAAAAAAAAAAAAAAAAAAAAAAAAAAAAAAAAAAAAAAAAAAAAAAAAAAAAAAAAAAAAAAAAAAAAAAAAAAAAAAAAAAAAAAAAAAAAAAAAAAAAAAAAAAAAAAAAAAAAAAAAAAAAAAAAAAAAAAAAAAAAAAAAAAAAAAAAAAAAAAAAAAAAAAAAAAAAAAAAAAAAAAAAAAAAAAAAAAAAAAAAAAAAAAAAAAAAAAAAAAAAAACAACAATTTATGTTCATTTTTGTGAAAAAAATTTCTCTAATCACGTGCAAGCAAATTGTTTTTACGTCTAAATTTTATAAAATTAAAAGTACTAAAAATTAAATCATCGGATTCCAAGTGGCTATCGTCGATAAGAGTCCTCGTTTTCTCGTTCAATTACCAGAGCGAGGATGTACGCCATGGAGGCCATAATCACCTGTAAAGAGGCAGTAAAATAATATTTGACTTGTCATCGAGGCAAGGTACAACGCGATATTCATACACGATTATTCATCATTAAGAAGCGTGTAATTGCTAGTTCACTCGAGAGGCGATCACCCAACGAAATCGTGCTCCCGACTTTCGAGATGCGCTGTCAAAGTTTACGCAATACAATATACTCGTATACTCACGTTGAGCATGCCCAGAGTCATGCCTAGAAAACCGATGCCCATGCTCTTGAACTCGAAGAACCAGGTGAGCTCCTCGACGCAGCCGTGGAAGAAGGCGTTACCGGTCACCGTGTCGCGGCACTCGGCCGGAAGTGGCTTCAGCAGGTGTGTGTAATCGTTGGGCCCGTCGGCACCGCAGCAACCGATCTGAAAGAGAGAAAAGCGACGAATAGATATAATGAGATAATGCCGAGGTCATTGACCTTGTATCTTCCAAATCTCGAGCTCGAACGAAATCGAAATTTTTCTCAATCGTTGGCTCGTTCACTTACTCCCTCTTGCAGTTGCCTAAGAATAACGGATGCGTAGTCGTGCTGAGAATTAGAGATGAGATCTCTCATGGACTTTCGGATGATTGGCTGGAGACTGCTGTTGGTCGTCGAGTAATCCAAGAGCAAGCAGGTCGCGATCAAGCTCAACGCGAAGCAAACCAACAGGAATCCAGCGTTCTGTAGGGGTCAACGCATGGAAATGATAGAAAATGAAAAACGACTTGGCGCTACTTACGAAGGATTAAAACGCTTACGATTTTCAGATGCAGGTCGTGTTCATTTTTAAGCCCAATGAGTCCGTAAGCACAGACGAGAATGGTGAGTATCGAGGCGATTATAAGAATGGCTAGTGCGTAATTGTACTGGTGGATATTCAAGGCATCTATCCATTCTTGTAAGCTCGTGTCGTTGGTTAGCCAAAGCGATATTATGCCACCAACGACTGCTAAGAGCTGAAAAAAAACATCACGATGACATTACTCGAGACTGTTTTACTATTTTTACGGAGATAATCCAACTGATATCTCTGCGGATCTAACGCGAAGAGGCCACATTTCGTTTGCATTCGACGTGTATTATAGGAATTACCCGCGGGTAAAGCGTAAAAATTTCGCTGTTATTCGCTGAGAGCCACACGGAGCCAAACTATTTGCGACTATGGATAGATAAAATTTTTGATAATGTATCAATAGGAAAGGCTTGCTTGTTATCTCGGCACGTAAACGTTGCCAAAGCCTGTACAAGCGAACGATACACTCGTCGCGACCGCGGCGCACACCTTTTTCGTAACGTGAATTGCGTGTACGTGAAATTTTAAGCAACGCGTGTATAAGCGACGACGGCGCGAAGAAAAAAAATTTGTTTCGATAAATAACTCGACGACGAAGATCGTCGACGCGTGGAATGCCAAGATTTCGGCAAACCGCCTCGCGGCGCGTCATCGCGGGTTTTCGCTTCACTTCCGATATGCATTAACACGCACACACACACACACACACACACACACACAGAGGCGCGCGACAATGACGGATACGACACGGTGATTCACGAAATATCTTAGATTACGCACCGATCCGGTCTATGAGAGATAAATTAAAGGTTTTTTACGCGCTCCTTGTGCGTAGCGAATCGCAGCTCGGCAATGATTTTGCGATCGCTTCTCCGCACCAGCTTTGCACCGGTGCACCCGCGAGCATTTTTGGAGTTCTCGTTTTATTATGATATCTGTAATTGCAATTGTAATTAAACTCACGATGACGACGAAGTAGAATATGAAAAGCACGTAGCGCGTCGCTCTGTAGCTTTTGTCGTCGTCCGAGCCCATCATACCCTGAGCTTTCATCATTTTTGCGACGATAACTGTAACAACACAAATCGGTAACTTTGTAACGACACAGTTACGGCATGCAGCTCGCAAGGCCGATCTTATGCACCACCACCAACAACAACAACAACAAAAAACGAGGAAACTCTTCTAGCCGCGCGGACCGATTTTATTTTAGCAAAGCTCGCGATACGACTGTTGCACGAGGTGTGTGCGAGACTCGTCGTACGCGAGAGATACGCGGCACGGACGACGACGTAGCTCGTTCGCGTTTTTTTTTTTTTCGTGTGCGTTCACGACACCTTATCTCGGAGGACAAACACAGAGTGAGTGAGAAAAGATAAGGTGCGATGGGGCACATGCCCTACATATAATCGTCGCGCTCGCAATCGTAATCTTGCCATCGCTCGTATATATACCTATACATAGGTGTAAGTACAAATACGCGTTTTAAATGGATATCTCAGCGACCGCGCGATAACAGGTGTGGTTCGAAAGAGGAGATCGCTGATTCACCAATTCATCAGCCCGAGCTCTGTTATGTGTGTATGCGCGCGGGACGGAATCGCGGCAGTTTTGCTCAATTTCGCTCGAATTCGTTATAATATGCGCGCTGATACGTCCAATCTACGTACGGATAATGAATCGAGAGCGAGCAGATCGTTATTGAAACGTTCGACCATATACACATTGGTGCATACGTCAACGATCTCGGCAGAATTGTACGCAATACCGGAAACGCTCGTAAAATTTCATTGATAAATTTTTGCTCGTGAATCGCCGGCAAAATTATACGAGTACAAACGCTGTGCACGTATCGGCTTGAAAAATCGCACACCTTCCGGCTACTATACCTGACAAAGATTACAGAAAAAATTCAATCACGACAATCGATCGATCAATTAACGTCTGTAATAGATTGCATAATTGTCGTAACGTGCTGTACAGTTTTATTTTTTACAAATTCATTCATTTGTCTACATTCTGACATTTTCAGTGTCGAACTTCGCGAGCTTATCCTTACAAAATTAAGCATATCGAGGGAAAGCCTGTAACTGGATTGTTTTTCTCGCGTAAGCAAGGCGATTCGCGTCAACTGATTTTATACATGTTGCGCTCTTTAGAGATGCGGATGACGCCACCTGTAGTCAATAATCGTAATTTTTTATGGATTATGCAAGTCAAAAAATACCCACAAAAATTTTGCTTATTTAGGAAGTCGAGATTTTTTTTATTCCTTGTAAAACTATCGGTTACACAATAGATTAAGAACTTCAACAATAATCACTTGTAAAACTATTATATTTTTATAGGAAATCGTGCGGCTTTTCATTAGTTTTCAATTCATTATCGTTGCGTCAACATTTTTCTCAAATGTCAATTTTACATAAATTTTTCAATTTAAATAAAATGTAATTCATTTATTGCTAATAACTTAAGTTTCTTACATTAATTTACAGTCTGATTTTTCGTTTTAAAATGCCGTTTGCATAAAAAATGTTTATTAAATAAACCATTCCTCAAATTTAAAAAATAACGTAATTAATAACGTAATAACTTTTGTAATCAATATTTAACTAATTATATAAAAAATGTTTGTATATGCTATTATTCTTTTTCTAACACTTCCTTTTTATCTTGTAATTCCTCCTTGGATTCACTTTTCATTTCATCTTTGATCTCAATTTTTAATTCATCTTTTAGTTCACTTTTTATTTCATCCTTGATCTCACTTTTAATTTCATCTTTGATCTCATTTTTTTGCTCCTTATTCTTTTCTTCTTTCAAGTCCTTATTCAATTCCTCATCTTTTTCTTCTTTTGTCCACTTTACTCCAAATATGGAATCATATACCTCGTAATCTTTGTTGGGATATTCTGGTTCAGACACTGTGGATGCATCAGATGTATCACATGGGTCGAGATTAACATTGTCTTGTTTTACCACAATATTTGGCTCGGTTTGCACTAGTTTACTACACGTTTGAATGTCTTTGCAACATTTGTGTCCATTTTTGTTGTCAATATCATTTTGAAGTTTTGGATGGTAATACTGGTTACTAATTTCAAGAAGTCCTCGAAGTTCTTCATTTTCTAGTTTTAGTTGTGATAACATTTCTATATGACTCATTTCCATTTCTTCACCCATTTCTGATGCTCTTCTCATAACTGAAGCCATCTCATTGATTTTATCCGCTTGTGCAGCAATAACCTGAATTCAATAATAATTTTAAACCAGTGACCTTTATAATAAAAAATATTTGGATAAAAATTTAAGAACTTACTTGTAAACACTTATTTTGACTATTTACAGGGCATGAATTAGGTAAGGCAGTATAATTTTGTTTAGTTTGCTTTAAAAAGTAAGCAGTTTGCTGTCTGTATTTAGACATAATCTGCTCCATTGCTTTTTGATAATCTTCCAATGCCAGGCGCAAATCTTTATTTTCTGCTCGCAGTTCTCTGAAGTAATTATTATTTCCCTTTTGAAAGCCAGCGATGATTTCTTGGCGTTTTTGGTTACTTGCTTGAGAGTTCAAAGTCTCAAGATCTTCTTGGTACTGAAAAAGTTAGAAATGATTAAACGTTACACAATGTATGCAAAAAAAAATGTAAACGTTTACTCCAATATTTTTCCTATTCTTTATACATTAGAATATCTTAAACCACAACTCTGAATAATTCGTCGAAGGAGTTGTTTGGTGCATTAAAAAAATACTCTGAGCTACACCATAAAAATTTGAAAGCTCACCTGCTTCATGCTGTCAATTTGATTGCACACGGATTGTATCTCGCAGATGAGAACATCAGCTGTGTTCTCCTGCTGGGTTAAATCGTTAACGAGCTTGCCAGCGTCGAGTATTATTTGCTGGAAGGTAAGAGCCATCTGAAAATCGATCGCGATATAAATAAATACCCTTCAAAGATACTGATGCATAATGATTATGTTAGCGTTATAAATTAGATTCATGAGGTATATATCGAGGACGATATAGCTTCGCTCTTTGTTCTATATGGCTCGATAAAAACTGCATGGCAAATTCACATCACTGTTATTGTGCAGAAAAGAAGCCTTTACCTTGGCACTCGAGTTATTACTGCAACGAGAATTCACAAAAAGTTCGCTCTATCATTCGACATTCGTCAAATTTCGAGATCAGAGCTTTTATATTATGACGTCTCCGATATTTTGACGTTTCGTACAATTGAGGTTAACCTCTTCCTCCACCTCTCCGCGCTCTTGTCCCTGTCTCGAATGGGGTGGCGCGAATTTCGTATGCACTTTGCTCGTGCGAAACTGTCGGCGCCCACAACATTCTACCGAGACGATTTAACTTTAAGTGCATTTTGTAAACAAAGTTTTGGAATAAGAAAGCAAACAAGCAAGTTGGAATGTAGAATTTTAGCATGTCGGAGTGAAATTCATGGACATCCATACATAATTTTCATTTACCTCTGGTTTCTGAGCGTCCATCGTAATAGTGTCGAAGAGATTTACTTGATTATGAAGTTAAAATTTAACGACCGTTAAATTGTAGTTATTCTATATTGTTTTTGTGTATCGTTGTCCGCGTACACACATGTAAGTACGTGACTCGAAATCGTAGGTAGGCATCACGTAACGTTGCGTGATGACGACTTGTTTATTTGTGTGCCTTCGACTACCGACCCGTGCTATTACGCTTGATGCTCATTGGTACAATGTCAACACTTAATCCGGGCACACAAAGCACACATCGTCGTCGATCGTCGACCTTTCCCAGAAGTTAAAATCAAGGATCAATTGATAAGATCGCACAGCATCGACACTTTCTCCTAGTATCATCCGAACTATCTTCATTCGATCGTCGATCAAAATCGGAGCATCATCGCTTACTGTGTTGCGCGCGAGTCGTTTTTGCCAACTGTATACTATCGACTACTTTTTTATTTATTCGTAAAAACGCTCGGTATACTCCGATTGGAAATCAATAGAACTTCGATTGTAATCAACGCGAGCGCCGGTCCATTAATGAAAGAAATCTTCGAGAGATGGGAATCGTCAAGCGCTTCATCAACGTGACGAAGCAGGCGCTCGGCCTGCACAATCAGCATCGTCTGGGCTCGAGCTCGTCGCGGCCCGGTCGCTGGGCCGGGAACTTCGCCACGGACGACGACGACGGGGTGAGCCGATCATCCTCGATGTTCAGTATACGTTCCAATATACTGGGTAGCGGTTACAATTTTGAGGCCAGCTCGACGCCCAGACTCGACACGGACTTCGTCGTGACGTTCAACTTCAATTAAAGGTACGGCCGCGATGTTGAACATCCATTCATTTCATTTCATTGAAACATGACACACGCACGCAGTCAAAATCTCAATGATCCACATCACTTGAATTTAATCGATAATGAAAAATAGACTGTCATAGAATGTGTCTGTGTGCTCCTCGGACTTCAAATCTGCATTCACTTGTTTCTCATCTTAATACATTTTTTTGAACACGATTTTGAAAAAACGAGTTTCATAGTCAGATTCAGTAGGCCAAAATACTTCAGAAACCATTGTTCGTTTGTATATGGACTTCAATCGGTCACGAAAACCCCCTCAATAAGGCTGTTTTCACAGTCGTCAGTGACGGTCAAAAATCGACCAGCTGATTTGACTGGAGGCCAAACAAAGCGACCCCCCGTATACTTTACATGTTAAAGTTGGTTGGTAAAAGTACTTGTAATTAGTTTAACGTTCGGTAAAAAAATAAACAAAAAATATCTGGAGAAAGCGGAAATCCTTGTGTATCGAAATATCGAAGCGGTTTTTAGTTAAAGTCTTTAGATTGTAAATAAAAAAACATTGAAATTTCGGCTTTTTTGTCTGTTATATTGTCAATAAACTCTAATAAACTAGTTATTAAAAGTGGTTTTTTGGGTTGCAATACAAACCCTCAAGTGGAGAATTGTTTATTCTTTCAAATTACCAATGAAAAACTAAAAAACAATCGTAATTAAGAATATTATCTTTCCACCAACAGCAGACTTAGTTTGGAAGACGATTGCGAGATCATTTTCATAATTTTTAGAAATTACGATTGTTTTTTAGTTTTTCATTGGTAATTTGAAAGAATAAACAATTCTCCGCTTGAGGGTTTGTATTGCAACCCAAAAAACCACTTTTAATAACTATTTTATTAGAGTTTATTGACAATATAACAGACAAAAAAGCCGAAATTTCAATGTTTTTTTATTTACAATCTAAAGACTTTAACTAAAAACCGCTTCGATATTTCGATACACAAGGATTTCCGCTTTCTCCAGATATTTTTTGTTTATTTTTTCACCGAACGTTAAACTAATTATAAGTACTTTTACCAACCAACTTTAACATGTAAAGTATACGGACGGTCGCTTTGTTTGGCCTCCAGTCAAATCAGCTGGTCGATTTTTGACCGTCACTGACGACTGTGAAAACAGCCTAATAGTAATGAGCTGATCATTGCATTGCGCGCGCAACCATTTTCATCTTCGTGCATGCTTTTATGTATATGTTTCCCCCTCCAATTCATATGAAGTAGCTACTTTTGCTCGTCAGGTCTCGGTGCCACTCTGTATCAATCTGTATATCTAACGCTAATGTATCAGTACTAGATTGAGTTTGATTGGATACACAACTCAATTGTTCAGTTGTTTCTTGTTGGCTGTTTCAGTGTAATCAAAAGTTAAAATACTTTGTTCTTGGCCAATATCGTGATTGTTTGAAACTACAAGGTTTATTTTTTATTGTGAAAGATGGCCAAAACAAAGACGATAGCCAAAGGTTGTCCAAAATGTGAGCAGCAGGTGAGGATACGTATTTTTATTACTATCTAAATTTACAACGATAAATTCATTAGCAGCGATCGTAACCTTAATTCTACGGCTCTTAATTTTTTTTCATTTCGAGTAACTTATTATATCTAAACCAAACACTTTTTAAAAAGCATTAACGTCTATTATGCTTTTTCGACTATGCATTATAAATAACTTATTTACGAATCCACATGAACATATAGTATATTTTGCACCTAGGAAGTGAAAAACTGGCAAGTCCCAGAGCACGTGTAATTTATCATCCGAGGCGAAGCCTAGGTTGATAATCACGTGCTCTGAGACTTTCACTTTTCGCTACGTAGGTGCAAATACAATTTTTTGTGAATCCCCCAGCCTAAAGTAACATTTTGGTTTTGCGCAGCGAGAGTAAAATGTTTACTTTAGGTTGGGGTAGCACAAAAATATATTATTTGTATTCTATGCGAGGTATGCAAACTATTAAATGTTTTTCATCAAGTTGAAAATAATCATCTCTTACTATGTCTATGTTACTGTACTTTCTAGTTGTTGAATGTACAACTAAAATAATCCAAGCTAATTTTAAATAATGCGATAAATCTAAATTAACTTTTTATTACACAGGTTCCTGTAGCTTGTAAAGCATGTAGATGTGGTCACTCTTTTTTTAATGCTCGTCGTAGCTCTATTAAAAGTCCTCCAAGTCCAGAACTCGCCATGAGAACTAGAAGAACAAACAGAGTAAAAAGAGAAAAACCTGTATACTATGATGCACTTGTAATTGAAAAACAAACACGAAAATCTACGAAGGTAATTTATTATTTGCTAGTCTACATCAAGTTAGTTTCTAACATATTCAATTAATTTTTTTAAATAATTTCAGTTAAAAAAGGGAACAGAAACTGATGGAGATGTACCAGAAATAAGTGCAAAAAAAAAGAAAAAAGGGAAAGGTAAAAAAGGTGGTAGCAGTGGCGGTGATGACTATGACGAAACCGAAGGAGTCAGCAGTTTATCACCTGAAAAACAATTAACATGTTCTCTTATTTTACGAGAACTCAATAATAAACTATTGAGTACTTCTTGGAAACCTCAGTAAAGTATAACAAAGCTGATAAGTGTGTGATAAATGTTTGGTCTCATTTGTCAAACTATAATTATTGTACAAAAAGAAAACTCTATTTCATGATGTATATCATTAAAATGAAATTATATTAAGCTTGTGATTGTGAGGAATGTGTGTCAAATGTATATTCTGTAAAAATAGTTGATTGAAAGCAACTGGTTGGTTGAAGTACAATGTTTTCCTATAAACGATGAAGTGACATTGATTCAATTAAGTACAAATGTGTTGAAAATATTTTAAGAAAATATTGTTCACGAACTTATGAATGCTTATTGATTTTGTCAAGCATCAAAATTTCAGAAATCTAGGTACTCAGCATTAATTTTACTTAAATTATCATAGATTAAGAAATGACTATTAAAAGATTAAGAATATGTTAATTTATGAATTAAAATCATGTTACATGATTCAAAGTTGCCATTTACACTAAATGTAGATGAATAAAAAACTAAAGAATAAAATATCAAGGATGTATTTTAAAATATTTGATAAAGAAATGAATATCTTAAAGATGTATCAATGCTGCATTTGAACTAGTATCGTTCAAAAATGTTGAATGCAAGCAGTGAAATAAGGCATATTTAAGTGCTGCTGTTTATGATTTATTTATAAGGCTGATTAATTTACTATGTATAGTAAAACATTTATTTTTTTTTAAATATAGATGTAATCAAAAAATTCTGAATTGTTTTAATAAATGAATTTAAAATATACAAAATTTACTTTCACTTTTCACGTCATTATTATTTCGAAAGGTTACTTCTAATATAATAGATAAGTTAGTAAAATCATTAAATTCTCAATCTGCCTTTGTTAATTAAAAAATCAACTATGATACCTTAAGAAGTTTTGATAAATCACATTGAAATTTAAGATATTATGGTAAATTCTATTGTTTTATGCAATGTCTTGAATCGAACTGAACTAACTGAAATATCTTAAAATCTTTTAAGATTTATAAAAATTCTAATCGAGTTTAATTATTTCAATTTTTAAAATTCAGAAAGTAGTGTTGAAATTACTCTTCAAATGAGTTTTTTATTATTCATAAAAATTTAAAAAAACAAATAGATTGATACACTACAAATTAATTTAAATCCTATACAGTTAATTGATATTTCCAGATTTTTAAAGCTGCAGAAAAAGATTGATTCAACAATTTTCCTTGGAAATAGATTTTATTTTTCAAATGACATATAATATATAATAAAATATAAGCATATGATTCAATTTCATATTAACTAAATATTAACAGTCACTTTTACTTGAACTAAAAACCGATTAGATAAAGGATAAATTATTATTTTTTAAACTTATCACAAAACTCAATAAAACGATTTACTTATTTTTTAATAACTAACTACTATATATTTAATAATGTTCTGTACACTGAATTCATTTTCCAAAGAACTCATTCAAATTCGTTTTCATGAATAATTTATGAGCTAGTAATGAAAACTTTGGATAACAAAAAATTGCACTGCGGCTAAACTTTCAATTTATTTCTTTAGCGCGCACTTACTCATTTATTCTAAACAATGCCAAAATACTGTTGTAGAAAAATAATAGAATAAGATCTAAAAAAAACTAATTTACAATTTTGTTTTGTTATAAAAAATAAATTTTATCATGATGAAGTATCACCTAATTTTATCTAACATAATCGTGTTTATCAGAAGCTCGAGATTTTCGGCGCGAGCGTCTACGAGTCTTACTTTCATCACAATCACCACCGTCGTTTGATTTCTTTTTGTCGTACAAATATTCAAAGTTCTTTTTTTCATTAATAATACTTTTTGATTTTTCAATTTGAGAAATACCGTTATCAAATGTACTTTCAAAGCTCTTAGTTTTTGTCACGGAATTTGCATCTTCTTGGGGGCGTTCATGCTCGGATAGCAAAGCAGGATTATGGTCCCGCGTTGAGCTATTCAATTTAGTCGCAGCAAGTATATCTGATTTTGTAACCACATTTTGGTAAATTTTATTTACATTAGTGTTAACTTTAGATATGGGCGCTGTTCCGTCAAACTCTTCGTCACAATTATTCACATCATTAAAATCATTAACATCGACATTTTCACCAATTTTTAAAAGCTGTAATGTTTTTGTAGGGCTTCGCGGTACTTGGTCAAGATTGGCGTTCGTGGATTTAGCAAAAGAACGTGAGCTAACTGTAGAGCCTACAGAGCCATCGTTAATTGAATGATTTTCTTCACGCACTGCTCGAAAATGCCTGGTTCGCCAGGAGCTTCTTTGTTTCGGTAAGCTTTTATTGGACGCCGTTCCTGATTTTTCATGATTACTATTATCACGACTACGTTCTGAATCATCGTTTGAAACTTCTGGATTCAAATTTTCTTTCAAATCACCGCTTCCACAGTTGAGTTTCCTTGTTGTCGGATATTCCAATAATGTTTGATCATCTTCTAATAGAAAATTTCTCGATTCTATAGGAGCAGTTGCTATTGAACTATGAGCAATGTCAAATTCAACTGCTGAATCGTCACCCAGTGAAAGTGACTTATTTATGGTTGCGCTCAAGTCAGATGTTGAATCAGAACATTCAATAGCTTTCTGATGCGATACTATATACTTTTCAATATTTTTACGCGACAAATCTTGTGTCTTGTCTAGCTGAATTATAATCTTTGTTGAAAGAATGTTAATCTGAAAAATATTTCAAATACCAAATGTATACATTTTTTATTCAACTTTTATTTCTTGCACAAGCATCTCTACACTTACGTGCAAATCTTGATTTATAACTTTGAATTTTATATCTTTCAGATTTGCTTGATCTGTAATCAATCCAGCTCTATTATGTTGATCCTGTCTTGAAGCTTTGCTAGTTCCGCCGTCGCTACTGCAATCGGTAATCCGAGCTCCAACATTGGAAGTGCTATAAAGTTAATTAAAAATGTTATATTAACAACAATATTTTCGCAAATAAAAAACTTTTCATTAAAAAAAAAGCAAGTTGTTATATACTACTTAAAGAATTATTTTAATGTATTATGAAAAAAGTTTGTACTCAAATACATGAAGAAAATATCCGATTAAATATTAAAGTAAATTGCTTAATAATTACTTGTTGAGTTGAGATTGTTTGTTACAGCTGGTGTTTTCTTTGGTTGCTGATGAATTGCCTGATTTGGTTGAGTCCTCAACTGAATCTGAGATGGAATTTGATGTTGACTCATTGAAGGTGTTGTTGGTGAGTTCTTCAGTTCTTGAGGCAAACTGTTAGAACGCCATAAGCATAACTAAAGGGAAATACGGTGGGAAAAGTGAATTATATGTGCGCGTGTGTATGTGTGTGTGTGTAATTTGATTATATGACCCATTTTTAAATTGAACTTTATTTTAAAATTGATTTTCTTGCTGATTGATAAATCCATTTATCTATTTGATTGATGGATCGTTGTCAGATTTTAAGCGAGAATTTATTTTAAGAAGAAGGTTATTTTGTAGTTATGAGTTTTTAATGTATCAATGAACGGTGTTAATAATTATATTTCATTAATCACATGCCCATATACTTACGCTTTTTGCAGGCGATAACAGTTCAGGAACTGCATTAATATCAGCGTTCGGGCTTAATTCCAATTTGGCCCGTTTACTTCGCTTTTCTTCCTTCAAATCGTCTGTGATTTCACGTGAACGTTTTAATGGTGCAGAAATAGGCAGTGGGAAAGGTAACGAAACTTCTTCGGAATCTAATTCATCATTGAAAAATTCCGGGGGTACTGACGTAACATTAGTTATGACAATATTAAAAGGAGACTGGTCAGTTTCTTCAGAAACTGTCACTGCCATTGGTTCGTCTGAAGATATGTGTGGATTTGCATAAACATGATCTATCACTGCCAAATTTTCGCGCCGTTTCTTCATTGTACTTTCACAAACAATTTCGAGTTCGTCGTTGTCGCTATCAAGATCGATAATACTATTATTTTTAGATCTCGAACCTTCAATATTACCCGCGCTGCAATGAGACATACATAATTTAATTGTTTATTTTAAACATGAGAGTAAAGATTATGAGCATTTTTTAAATTATTGCTTTACCTTTTTAGTTGAGCAACCTGCTTTAATTTGTATTTTAGAGGTCCCGGTCGTAACGAAACTTTGGAGAGAATACTGGATAAGGAATCATTTTGAATTTTATTGTTGCCTACAGATACATTGGAATCACTGTCATCATCGTTGACCGTAATTTTGAGAATTTCCGTTTCCTCTTGTGTAAAATTTTCACTTGAAACTAAAGACTGATCATTCGCAGTATCGTTTTCTACTGAACTAGATTCTTTTTCTGAAAAGTTTAAATATCCATTTAAGGTATAATATATCTTGAAAATGTAAGATAAGATTTATTATTACATACTTTCAGTAATAGAAATACATTCACTACAAAACCATTCCACATCACCAGATTTCAAATCACTACAACGTAAATGGGTTCCTTGGTGACCACACATGTCACATAGACTCAATAGCCACTTGCTGTAGACAAATAATTCATAATTTAAAGTGACCATAAAATATTATTCCACAAATTTTTTTATTGACATACCCTTGTTCTTCTTTATATTTTCTACCTTTAGGACAAAGACATGTTTTTGCGTTACAATTATCATGTCTATAGTACAATTCTTGATATGCATTAGGAACCAACTCCCATGATGCATCTTGTTCCGGAACGTAAATGCCATTTTCTTTCATAATGTCTCGAAATGGTTGCCTATTATTACATAATGGGCACTTAAAAAAATATCCGGCACTTATAGCAAGTTTCTAAAAATTTCAAGATTAAAGTTAATTTTTTAGAACAAGGGAAAGAGAAAAATTAATTTGAAGATATTTACCTGAAGACATGTTCGATGGAACCAAGCACCTTTTCTACAGCATGATGACCACAATGTACCTATAGTATCTTTAGGATCAACATCTTCATAACAAATTGTACATGTAACCATTGCAACATTAGCTATTTTAGCAAGAATTTCAGCATCTATTTTTTGCTTTGGTCTATGAGACTCACAAAATGATCTATTAAACATGAAACAAATTAATGCTAATTCCATATACTTAATAATTAAAGATAAACAAACCATACATACTTGAACTCTCCATAAAATAGGTGCAGCGAATTATTTTTTAAACCACAAGGCAAGTGAAACATTTTTTTACATTTAGTCTCACAGCAACCCAAAGTGGCACCATTTTTTCTACAATATGAACAAAACTAAAAATCAAAAACAATTAGTTCAAGTTTCTCAAAATTGATAAATGTTTTAAAAAAATAAATTCTTACAAGTCTTTTGCCTCTGCGTATTTCTTTATTAATGTCTGCAGCTAAAAAACCTAAAATTCCTTCTTTATCCTCTCCATTTTGAGTGACATTGGAGGATAGTAACTGCAATTAATCAATTAAAGTTATTTACGAGAAAAAAAAATATTAATAACTCAACTAAATACATTTTTCAATTGAAGATATAATTAGAAACAAGAGTACAAAACTCACCAAACAAAAATAATGCGTAATAATTCCTTCATGTTCATGAAATGGACCGTACAAAGTCTCATCTCTCTGAGATCCTCCGCAGAAGCAGCAAATGAGTTCTCTTTCATCGGTACTTGATATCACTGTCTTTGGAATTGTATTTTCATTTTGATATGAACTATCTTCTTGTGTAGCAGTGCTTCGTCTCGGACGTCTCCTCGACGTAGAAAAATGCACTGCTGATCGACGAGATCGTCGTGACATTGTCTGCTCCTGCTCCAATCTCTCAGTACTGTCTATAAAAAGAAACAATACAAAGATAATCAATACATAATTCCAGTGTAAAGCCCATAGGTTTATAGCTTACAAGCAATAGTAGGGTTGCTACAAGATAAATAATTAATGGGATTCCTATAAGCTAATGTAAAAATAAAAATGTTTAGGCTTCATTTATGCGATCGTTACTGAGAATTTTTTTCAAAATTATTGGTAGCAATTTTCGTTCTAAGATTGTAAAAAAGACCAAAGAAAACTTTAGAAAAATATTATATAAAAATCTTATAAATGTCGTTGAAAAATGTTCATATAAAACTTGGTTTTGGCATCCCCTTCATTAGTAAAAAATTCAATCCATATCAAAATCATTCAATCCAATCTTCAAATGTCAAATTATCGAGCAAAGATTTCGAGAATTATATTACTAAAGAATCCTATAACGGGTAGCAGACACAGAGTAGCAAAACATACTCTGGCAACCGGCTTTTCACAATAAGCGCAAGTCAAGACAATATCATTGCCACCATCAGAAAATTTTTTAACGAATAATTGTTGTCGCATTTTCGGTATTAGAACACCTTTAATGATAAAATAATAACTACTACCATAGTTTCTGGTGGAATAGTGTTCATCTCAGTTAGCTTTATTGAATTAATGAAAAGATTTTCAGTATTTTCGCTTAAAATGTTTTTATTTTTTTGAAAATCTCGGAAAATTATACGAAGCTTGAGAGATATCAATACGGCAGATAAAAAAGCTAGCAACATTGAAAATATTTTTTTTCCATATTGTTCCACGCGATGCAAAAAGACAAAATTAGCGATTTTTTCCAATTTCAATAGCTTATAATTGGTAAAAATATAAAAATATGCATTTTAAAGAAAATATTCAATATAAACATATCAACACCAGAAAGCATCGTGGCAACATTAATTTTCTCATTGAAGGCGATTATATGAAGAAAAAGAAGCAAAAATTGTTCGTTAAAACGTTTTTTCGAAGTTTATGACATTATCGCTCGATGAGAGTCGTTTCAAGTTAAGCGAACGTTGTCATGCGTATAAAAATTTGTATCGTCGATTCTCGCGCACTGCGAATCCAATGCAGCACGTTCGAGATTTTCTCGCCCGCGTCTTTTTCAAGGCAGATACACACAGTTGCTTACTTATATCTGTTTAGCAGGTAAGCTAATTATTCGGCTCGACTTATAGCGCGCGCACTCACACATTCACAATTTGTATACACACGTAGGCATGCAGCAGCACCTCGCGAGCGCGATACAACTGTGCTCGTTGCGAGAACCGGAGACAATAGCAAGTACATGTGCAACGAAAGAAACACAAACCTATTCCATAAACGCCGATAGGCAGCAGAGCGCAAAAACGACTAAGTAGAAGTACGCGAGGCGCGTCAATGTGACCTGTAGCTAGCTGTCGCTCATGGGGCGATCCTTTTTTTCCATGTATCGGGGCTTCATTTTCATTGTGTACACTTATCCGACGATTCGTGTGACTGTATACAGTGCGAAGATACCATGTCTCTGTGTATATATGTGCGAAAATAAAGGTATGGGTGTAAGCAATATACTCGAGTTACCGAGATAGCGCTTGTCACGTAAGAAGCGCCAATTCGAAAAATAATAAGACGCGATCTCGGTTACGGAGCGCGCATATCGACGATCAAAGCTATAGATCTAATCGGTAGGCACTCGAGCAGTTTTTTGATGTGAAACATCTTTTTTTGCTCTTGCGTTATAATTTACTTAAGAGTGCACTGTAATTCCTATGATAATTGCAGTTATAGACATAGTTTAAAAATAAAACTACGAGAGAATAAATTTACTTGCATATGACCATTCAATACACGTTTACTTTTTTGAAAAGAAATTGAAAAGTATAACGATTTAGACTAACAAAGAAAACGTATGACTGTCAAAATAATATAACTTTCGATTAATTTTTAGAGCAACAATGAATAGTACATTTATGAGTCCAATAGAAATATAGAAATATTTAAATGAAAATTAATTTAGGATTCCGACACAAGTTCTCTTGAATGTACACACACGGGCATTAAGCTAGACCACAACAGTGAAACCTGCGAAGCGGCGCACGTGCTGTTCTGTCGCGCTGCAATATTGCCTGCACTGACTTGCAAAAAGTTTCGAGATTAATCGATCCCTCACCACACGCCGTTTTCCTATGCATTTGCCAGCAAACGTCATATGTGTATACACAATCTACTGCTGTCTGCGTGTTGTACAACGTTCGGTGCAGCCACAAAGGGATAGCGAGCACATTTTCAGTGGCTTGGCAACGCACGAGTCCCGGCATTTTTGCGATCTGCTGCTTGCGATAGATGCGAAGCGGGAAAAGTTCGACGACTGCTAAACCAAAATTGTGATGAGAAATTGTTAGCACAAGTGACTTCTGAGCGGGTCAAAATAGCGCCTGTCGACCTATTACAACATATCTGCAGCGCAAATACGGCATTTACGCATAATTTTGCCAGAGCGAGGAGAGGGAGTCGACTGACGTTGAATGAATTGCAAAAGAGTTTTATTCATTTGTTGAATAACTTTAAACGCTCGATTAACTGATAATAAAAAAATATGTCTTCGGCTAAGGTAAAAGATGCACGATTCGTTAAAATATTCGAATTGAATTACTGATTACTCATCATTTTTTAGATTGAGTTTGATGTACAAATGTCATGTCAAAAATGTGTGGATGCAATTGAAAAGGTACTAAATAAAACAGAAGGAATCAATCGGTTTGAAATATCTCTCGAACAGGGTTCTGTGATAGTGGATACTAATTTACCTTTCTCTCAAGTACAAGAAACAATAGAAACTACAGGTAGAAAAGCAGTACTGAAAGGATATGGAGGTAAACTAACATTTCACAGTACTACAATTTTTTATAGAGCAACTATTGAGCATACATTTTTTGTACAGAAAATGATGTCAGTGCAGTATCAATGCTAGGAGGAAATTCTGGTTATAGTTATGGGGAAAATATTAAAGGTGTTGTTAGATTTGTTCAAACAAAAGAAGGATGCTTAGTTGATGGAACAATTGATGGATTAAGTACTGGACCTCATGGTTTGCACGTGCATGAGTGTGGTGATATTTCAAAAGGATGTGAAAGGTAAATATTTAAGAAATCAAAATGTTAAAGTTTATGTATCTGAAAAAGTTGTTAAGTTTTTTTATCAAAATTATTATTTTTAATTGCAGTGTAGGTGGTCATTTTAATCCCAACAACACCCAGCATGGAGGACCCAATGATTTACCGAGTAATAGGGTAATTTATTTTCTATTAATATTTTATTTATAATAATTATTTTTAAAACTCAAGTTAACACATAATATTTATGTAATTAGCATGTAGGTGATTTAGGAAACATTAATGCTGATAATGATGGAAGAGCCACATTTAGATTAGTAGACAAGCTATTAAATGTTCATGACATTATTGGAAGATCTTTGGTAGTGACTGAAAAAGCAGATAATCTAGGTAGAGGTGATACAACCTCATCAAAAATTGACGGAGATAGTGGTAAAAGGTAATTCAATTTGATATTATAGAAAACAAATATTTTTAAACTCTCACAAAATTAGAAAAATTAAACTAGTAACATTAAAAAATTTTATGTAAAAATGAAAATTTTAATGCTGATATAAACACCAAGTTAATTTTGATAAAAAAGATATTTAACTTGTTCAGCGATTCATAACTTTGGAGTTTGATATAGTTAAAAGTATTTGTTCGTTCGTGGGTTACATGCACTATAAAGAACGGAGGGCATGCACGATGCAAACTTAGTTAGATAAGAACATGAAATGCAGCACAAATGTCTTGCAAAGATATTTTATTAGTTTTTACTTACCTTGGCTACTAAGGTTAGATTCATTCGGCTGGGTTGATACATCTTGGCCTCCGCTGTTGCTCCTTGTCTGACGATTTGATGCGTTTGTCACTCTTCTACTGTATCTTTGCGAACGATTGGATGACTGATGGTTCTTTTTATTTTTCTCCCCATGATCATTTCTGAGCTGACCTGATTTTCCTCGCTTTACTTTCATAGGCATATCTCTGTATGCAGATGACCTTGTAAAAGATGTAAGATATTTGCGTTGCTTCAACAATTGATGCACCCTATTCCTGCACTCTGTGCACACTTTTTTGCTGCCCGAAAAGCTTACATGGTGCAGTAAATCGCGTATGCTGGAACTAACGAAACGAATATTCTTTGTAACATTGTGCCTGGGTATTCTAAATGGATTGCAGCAAATTTCTGTAACTATTTTTTGGGACGAGGATGCACTCGATGGTATCAACTCTGCTTGAATCGAGCCGGTCATCTCGGGTTACTTATTAACGAGAAGCGGTTCACTACTAGCGAGAGTTGTTTGTACACACAACTTTTCACACTGTCAAAATCCTGCGTCAAGATCAAACTTCGATCTGAACGTTATAACCTCCAAACTACGAAATTCTGGCGGTAGTTATTACAAATGCATAAGCTGTTTCCCACTTTTCCCAGCTTGACACGGCTAACGGCAATCTATCTTCCACCAATCCGATCCGAGTCAACGAGGCCGGTGTGGGTAAAGCAAATCCCACTAAACCAGAGGAAAGTGGTCTACTCGAAACATTCCCCCCTCCCATGTTTCCTGATCCTTTCTCATCGCACATGACCATAGAATAGATTAGCGCGCCTTTTTAAAAGTGCTCTTGAACGACTTCTTAGAGTAGGTTTTACATTTTGAAAATAAATTATCGACTGATAAAATATTTAATTCAAATAATAAATAATCTATTTCCAAACCTTCAATTTATTAAACTTAGAGATATTTTTATAAAATTGTGTTGGTATAAAATTTTTTTACAATTTGTTCAAGATTAAAATAATATTAAAATAACGTTAAAATAAGTAAATTATAAATAATATATTTCTAATACTTCACACGCACAGCGTCATTTACTGCATAAAACATAATTAACAATTTTCAATACTTTCTAATCTGATTTTTTTCATATTTTCATAGATTAGCATGTGGAATAATAGCAAGATCATCGGGTCTCTTCCAAAATGTCAAGAAAATTTGTGCTTGCAGTGGTCTGACATTGTGGGATGAACGTGACAAGAGCGTTTCAGACCAGAAAAGTGGAATTCCGCCCACCACTAACAATTCAGTATGCATTATTTTTTGATAAATTTATTCAATCTTTACTATCGCTGTACCTAAGCTTTGCTATAAAAAGTATTAAAATATTTTAAATCTACCTCTCTGCTATGAATTTCCACAATAATTACTCCTAATGATATCATTTAAATTTGATCGTTTTTCATTCCAGTGAACAATTATGGGTAAACCAGGAGGCTCAATAGCTCTTTGGAGAAAAAAATTGATCAAACTTTCACAAAATAATTGATAATTAATATTCCACAACTGGACATATTTTTGATAATAATGACTATGATAAAAGAAGTTCAATATCATTTTATAAAATTTGATGTTTTAATTGAAGTTGAACCTTTCATAATGTGTTAAGCAATACTATAAAAAATTGTGAGTATTTTGATTCAAGTGATTATATATTGAAACAAAAAAAACCTGGCTTCAGTATTTAGTCTGAATCAGAATCATCTGAATCTCTTCCCCGAATAGTTTTCTTATTCACTGGTTTTTTTTGCATTTTGATGTTGTCCGGTGGAGTGAGCAAATCTCCACTGTAATTGATAGCACTGGCTTGTGCAATTCTCCATTCTAAAACTTCAGTTGAAAAATCATCACAATTGCCTAAGTCTGTGAATCCAACAATGTAATCCTTGGTTTTACTATCAACCACCAAAGCTATTGTAGGAATTACTTTGATTCTCAAGCGTTCTGGAAGCATAAATTAAAATTTATGTTAATCAAGGGACTTGATTACTTTTAGCACATTATGATTCAGCCCACTGAAACTTACCTGTTAAAAATGGAGACTTTTCCACATCCAATTTCACAAAGCGAGTTTCTAAATGTTTTCTACAAAGTATTTTCAGGTGCATATCAACAATCTTGCATCTTTCTGAATCATTTTTATAAAAATGACACACCACTTTTTTTGAAGCTTTGCAAGCATCGAAAAATTCTTTTTCCTCCTTTAATTCTTGGTATTCACCATGTCCCTGTTGAAAATATAAAAATTATAAATAATTTGTATTAGAATTGAAAACTGAATCATTTTGCATCCGAATCCTTACCATTGACAGCCATATTTGCTTTTGTTCATGCAACTTTTTCATTTCTTTTAGTCTTTGCTCTCGTAATTGCTCAATGTCATCTATGGTTAAATTATCGAGTTTTTCAATTTCATCATCCAATTTTTTTTCTACGTGAGACGCGATCTCTGCCAACTTTTGTTGTAAAATTTGCTCCATTTTGAATTTATCCTTTATAAAGAATCAATTAAAAAACATTCATTAATACCGTCTACCTACGTTAATAACACTAAACTAGAAACCAAAAATATAATCATACTTGATAATCACTTGACGTTGCAAAAGTAACGAAATAAACTCCGGAACGGTTGACTCTTATTTATGGTCAAATAAGGAGAGATATTCACTGCCTACTCACGACTCAAACACTCCTTGTTTTTGGTTAGTATAATTGTGATGATTTTGTATGACGATTGTGGACGTCGTTGCAACCCAGCCAACTGTAGCCTTGCCAACTGTAAATCTCCATTATTCAAACAAGTACTCTGAAGTGAGTTTCGACTTTCGCATGTATTTCCATACGCGCTGCAGACGCCTTTTCATTACGCGCGAATCCCAATTGTATATTATTATTATTGTACGATCGCGCGCCTTTCTGCTATATGCTTCAAACTCGCGATGATTGGCAGACGGCAGAATTTCATTTGTTTTCGAAGTATAATGTGTTATGTGCATCGCGTCGAACCGACGAGCGACAATCGGTTTATCGAATAGTTTTCATTAGTAATGACATCGTCGTCTCTTTTATGTCGAGTTTTATAAAATTCAATTAATGTTGAAGACTTTTAACGATGTTCCAACCAGTGACAACTTTAGATTTACCGGCTCAAACAATTGCAGAGCTACAAAGCAGAGGCTTTCATTTTATTGAAGATGTCTTGAATAGTGAAGGTAAACTCACACGTCGTGAACAATTTCATAACTTTAGAAAATAATAATGATAACTTTTCAACAGATGCATTGCGCAAAATAGGTCTGAAAAAAGCAGAACTTGAAAAGAGGTTGAAAATTCCACATATTGCTGCTTTAGATCTTTGGGAGGTAAAAAATGAAATAGCTGATCGCTTGAAATCGTGAATTTAGAATAATTTCATTCAATTATTATAATTTTTTCTTTTTATAGTATGAAAAAAAACGACAAAAAATAGGTGTTTGTTGCTTAGACTTAGAAGCAATGTTGGATGATGGGTTCAATTGTGGAGTAATAACTGAGATAAGTGGGGCACCATATACAGGAAAAACACAAATATGGTAATTGGAATGTGGCAGTGCATTTATTAACAATCAATGCCTTTATTTTCATGATTCTTGAAACATAAATTTAACAAGTATTATACTTTTCAGTATGCAACTTTGCATTTCAGTGCAATTGAACGAACTTTATAGTGGCTTGAATGGTAGAGCTATTTACATAGATACCAGAAGTGGAGCTTCTATTACAAGATTCAAAGGTAATTCTATTTTATAAAATTACATCTAGTTTGGTTTTTGTACTCGTTGGAATTATTTAATGTTATATTTGTACGTTGGTGGTTTGGCAGATGTACGTATAACATGTATATGTTAAAAATACAATATACATGATTTTAAAAAAATCTTAATAATTTAAATCACAAAGTCATTTTAATTGCTTTTAGCGCTATGGCCCATTAAGGTACTATTTTTTTTATAATTTTTCATTGCAAAATTTTGTTATAATAATTAATTTTTTTATATTCTAATGATAGAAATGAATTAATTTTTAAACTAACTTCATGATTTCTTTTTAAATTTTATCAAATCAGTACTAATTGATAAAAAGTATTGGACTTACTTGCTGCAATAATTTTTGCAAATTTTAATTTTAGTTAACACTTATTGTAATTGTGGATAACAACTGTTTTGATAGTTGTTTTAAAAAGGAAAGTTTAACTATACACTAATTTATACAGTACCAGTATAATTTACATTTATATAAATTCTTAAAATACTAAATAAATGTTATTATCCATGTGCATATATTGACTTTTGATGACTCTTTGATATGTTAGTTTATAATAAATATAATACGAACAAGGAAAAAATGTATCATTCGTTGGAAATTTTTTTTTTCAATTTGTTTTTGAAATAATGTTCAAGATTCAAAAAGTCAGTTACTCATTTCGAAAGTAATCATTCAATTTATAAATTACATAAATTACTTCAATTGTTAACTTTCTAGATTGCTAAAAATGAAAATTTTCTTTTTGGGCATATTCTAAATAAAAATAAATAAAAAACTATTCACTTAATTTCTTTGAAAATAATGTGCCATTGCGTGAAAACTTTAACTAAAAAAAGTATTCTTTCTAATGAAATTATTTCAACTTGTCTCATAATAAATGTACAAGCTTTTTTTAAATTCACTTAATGGAAACTTTGATTTTGCTTTTTATCATTATGCATACACATTTCATGCTTAAACATCAAAGAGAAAAAATAGAATTCTTATTGGATTAACATTAAATTTCATTAATAATGTAGTAATCATTTGAAATCTCTATAGATGATTACATATTGATTTTGATAATAAACTCCCTCAGTTTCATAATCTCTATGAGGCCTTAGACTGGAAAATTTATTTCTTTCGCATGACAGAGGTGTTATTTTTCTTTTGAAAATGTCACACATTCTATTGTGCTCTTTAAGAGCTTCATCCATGGTATAAGAAGTTAAAACGAATGGGCATCTTTGCTCTGGAATGATTTGAATACTTGGTGACCACAAGTCTGCTGGTGAATTAATATTTTCACATTCATGAATGCCTATGTTATATCCAACAATTATATTAGGTTTTGAATATTGGTCACTGAAAACATATTCCTTGTATAAAAGACCATGAGTTTCGAGGTATAACTTCATGCCCTTTTCAATGCAACAATCACAAATATTACATTGAACTTTTTCAATATTGCTATCTAATTCTGGTCCGATTAATATAATATTTAGAATAGTTAAAGAAGGTAGCCAATGCAAAAGTGTTTCCCATATTTCAACTCCGTCGTATTCGAGCATATTCGCACCAATGACATGCACCGTCAGAATCGATTCAACCGTGTGATCCAATTTCTCCATTGCATGAAGCAAAGTCAATGGTCTAGTGAGATATTCCGACGTATGCGCTATCGTTATGTTACTAGAAATACAAAGTGATTTATCCTCGTTACAATAGAGATCAATGAAGTGCTTGATAGAAGCGGGTAGATAAGCCATTTCGGTATGGTAGGGTACGCTGTTCCTGGGTACTTCTCGCATGAAGACGGTGGACGCGATGTCGACCTCGTAGCACAGACTGAGATTGTCGCAGTCGGCGCTGTGGTGCGGGTCCTTTCGATGTTCGTGGCAAAAGCTCGCGCACGGGCAGGAGGGACAGTCCTCGAGGAGCTTGACGTCGGTCTCGTGGCACACGTAGCAAGCCTTCGGGAACTTGAACATCTCCTCCTCGTAGGGCAGGAGCTTGCGATTGAGCTTCATGCTGGCCACGAGCATGAGATTCATCTTGGCTTTGACCCAGTCCTGGCTGCCGCAGTCCTTGTGGCCCTCGAGGGGATTCGACTTGTCCGTCTCGTCCATGAGCTCGGCCAGGACTCGGCAGAGATTCTTGTGCTGGAGCCAGTGCTGCTTCTGGTGCTCCTTGCTGCAGTACGAGATCATCTTGCAGTTGCTGCATTTCTTCAGCTGGGTCTCGTTGCCGCTGCTCTTGCAGACGTGACACGCGTTCGCGTAGAAAAAGAGATTGTGCAGCTCGACGCTCTCCTCGCACATTTTTTCTCACCTTGAATGGGGGAAAAGCTGCTGATCGCGATTTCGCGCCTGAAAGCACATTAATCGATAAGTAATCATGTATGCCTTAAGAGTCTCTCTCTCTCTCTCTCTCGATAACAACGCCGTGACGTATACCTCCTCGATTATACGCTCTCGCACGTATTGATAATATAATAACGGAGTTGTGCATACACGCGAACTAGTGAGTGTGTGTATGTGTGTGCGTCTACTGTGCACGCTATTATGTACTCACCTATATACCTACACGCACCCCCACACCTCCACTCCCTGTCTGTGTTGAAAGGATGAATGAACGACGTATATGAATGCTGTGCGAGGTCAGACGGTAGTCGTGCTCTCTTGTCATTTTAAAGGCAGTTTGTAGTTGATGTAAACTTTAGAATTTGTTCTCGTCATTGTCGCACGAAACTTTTGGGCGTCGCGTCCAACAACACTCGCGCACGGGAGGTGTGAAAAATCTAAGCTTTTTATATATTATAGAAAATTTACGGATCGATAAAAATTTAACGCGTGTGCACACTGGTCAACAATCGACCCTACAGTGCAAAGAAGCTTTCTGCTAAGTGGCAATTTCGCCGTTAAAGCCAGTAGTCGTGCCTCCGAGCTTGCGCGCTGCGAGGCTGCGCTTATTCCGTATATAGGGGCTGGTGTGTGTGTTTTAAGACGCTTCTGCAATGCTTGCGATACGGAGCAAGGGTTGTCGTCGTTTTCAGGTGGCCTTGCAATGGGCTTCCTGAAGTTGATATTTTTTACGAGTCTTGGAAAATAACGTCAGAATTTCGTGTTTATAGTAAATTTATTATAATAATCATTGTGCGTTATAACATCATAAAAATATGAATTTGTTCATAGTTAACAGTCGTTAAAAAGATTCGAAAAAATTTGTATGATCACATTGTTAAGTTGAGCTACAGTTTTATAGCCACTTTCTTATAAATTAAGTAATTAACCCTTAAATTATAGGGGACAAAATATCCAATACTACGTTCATAGTCTGGTCGTCGTGTAAAACTATGTCAAAAGTTTCTTTGTACAATGGTAAATTTTCTTCCACCTGTGAAATTTAAATCATTTGTTAGACTAAAAATTATAAAATATTGTGAGATGACTATATGATATTGCACTTACGTGGTGATACAGAAAACCGATTTTCAAAATATTATCGGCATTTTTGGCCCCTTCGGCCATATCGGCGTCGCCCAATGAATCACCCATCAGTAATACGTTCGTTTTGTTTTTCAAAACTTCGAAATATTCCTCGTCGACGGCGTGGCCGTTTTTGTTCAGCACGTGCAGAACCTTGTCCGGCCTCTTGAAGCCATCCAGAACGTCGCCGTCGTTGTATTTCAAAAAATTCGACACAATGTGTATGTTATCGTACAAAATTCCCTGTCGGCGCAGCAACGCCTCGACGACGTCCCCCAGTCCGGCGCTTAATATAAGAATAGGAACTTGCTTGGCGTGCAGCCGCTCGAACAGCTCTTTGGTACGTTCTCTGAAGCCGTTGCCGTGCTGCTCGGCAAGACCCTCCATCTCGCCCCGAGAGAATCTGATGCCCTTTAAATTTCTGTGCGCCGAGGTCATCCACGTGTCGAGCAAGCGGGCTTTAAGTTCTCGAGGGACGCGCGGGTCCAACTCGATTGGCCGATATTTTTCGAATAATACTCTCGATTGTTCTAAATAGCTACTTGGCAATTGTTTTGACTTTTTGAATATACCTAAACAAGTAATAAGAATTCAGTCAAGTATTATTTGCGAGAGTTCATTTTTATTTTGAACTATTTTGAAGAATACGTACAAAAACTACTGTGCATAGGCTGGCCTTCTTCGTGTTGCTTGGTTATCGTAAAATCAAAGTCTGTAATCACCTATCAATGATATAAAAATTATTAGCTTCGTGTAAAATTCATAATAATTTTTAAGTAATGATTATAAAGTTTTGCAGGCATTACCTGGAGTCTCTCAGGTCCATCTGTAATTATTTTATTGATCTTTTCAAACACTGTTGCCTCATCTTTTAAATGAACTTTACTTGATAAGAGTGAATCCGCAATCTGTAAGCAAACATGGATAAGATATATGACTTCCATTTTTATCTATATTTAATTTAAATTAATACTAAAATTTAACTGTATCATAAAATGTTACTCATTTTGGGGGCATATTATTTGAATGACAAGTATTACAAAAGTTAAAATAATTTATCAACTTTATTTCATAGAGTATTAATCATTATAATACTGACTTTTAATGTTCAAACGTATAATTAGAACCAAATAATTTTCAAATATCGCGGTGTTTTATGCATGAAAGCCCCTTTAACCTGAACATGGTGTGTGTATTGTGCACTATATACACAATGTATAACCCTGAAATCTTCTGTCAAATGCACAATCATTTCATAACATTAACATAAATAATAAGATGTGTCATTCCCGTTAGTCTGGAAATATGTACTCACCGAGTCAATCTTGAACTCTTTTGTTGCTGCGAATTTGCTAAAAAACTTGTTCATAATGATGCGCTTCATTTTTGTTTCCACTGCCTTGAAGTTCAATTTTGATCTTGAAAAAATTTCGAAGCTAATGCACTGGCACTTGTTGGACGGTCAAGAAATACACTGTAAGGTCGAAGAACTTTGCTCGAATTCCATGTGTAACAAGAGTAACATTTGTCAACGAGTAGTTTGCAGTGGGTGCCGTTGAGTGTGACTGAGGTGATGCCAGATCTATCAGTTGTCATTGGAAATTTGGAGTAGTTAAGGAATAGGAAGTGACACACAATCCGTATACATATGTCGAATTGTAATTGTTCTATATGCTTCTCTTCTGCAATGTCTAAATGAGAGCGACAGTAGCGCCGTTGTTGGAATTTCTCACGAGTATTTTTAAATACCCTGCGCACGTGATACATCCAACATAAGCAAGTGCAAAACAGATAGCGCGTGTTTATAAAAAACATACTCGACTCGCGAGGAATCTCAAAGAGGAATGAGTCATCCTAATAATTTGTACAATTTTCATGAGTTTAAAATATAATCTGCTAATTTATTCAAGTATCTTATATTTTTACAAAAGTTTTTACATATTTTATTACATTAAGATGTAGTTGAAAAATTTTTTGAAACTGGACTTAATATTTCTTCAATGATATTCATTGTTGAATCATCAACTAAAACTATGTCAAAAGTATCCCTGTATAGGGGTAAATTTTCTTCAACCTGTAAAGAGTATGTCTAAAATGTTATAACTGAGTTAAAAAATGATTTAAAAGTAACTCAAGAGTACTCACATGATGATAAAGAAATCCAATTCTCAAGATTACTGATTCCTTACTAGCTCCATCAGCCATATTAGCATCGCCCAAAGAATCACCCATAAGCAGTATATTAGTACGTTCTTTCAAAAGTTCATGATATTTTTCATCCACTGATTCTTCATTTTTGTTATAAACATGTAATAGTTTTTCAGGATTCTGAAAACCCTCTGTTACATTTCCATTGAATTTGAGGAAATTTGATACAATGTTAACATTGTCATGTAGAATTTTGTGATGCTTCAAAACTGATTTTACTACATCTCCTAGTCCTGCACTAAATACAAGGACAGGAACTTCTTGAATTTTCAAATGATCAAATAATTCAATAGTGCCATCACGAAGAGTTTCACCATATTCTTCAACAAGCTTATCTAATTCATCAATATTATAATGAAGTCCTTGGTACAAATCATTACAAAGATTCATCCACTCATCCAAAGCTTTTATTTTTTCTTCTTTAGGGATTTTAGGATCCAGTTCAATAGGTCTATATTTATTTAACAATCTTTGAGATTCTAAGAAATAAGCCTCTGGCAATTGCTTTGATTTTTCAAATATACCTAAAAATATTTGTTTCAATAAATAAGAGATTTAAAAATACTTCAAGAACAAGAAATACTTACAAAAACTACTAAGTGTTTTATTGCCATTCTTATGGGTCTTTGTTAAAGTAAAGTCAAAATCTGTAACTACCTAAAACAATTGGAAATCATTAAAAAAACAATTTTATTTTACATTTTTTATGATTGACTAAATAACTTACTTGTAATTTATCACTCCCTCCATTTATCATAATGTTAATTTTTTTCAAAACTGTTGCTTCATCTTGGATATGCACATGTTTGGCTTTCAGACTCGGGAACTAAAATTATAGTTAATTGATATTGTTAGATGTGTTACATTATTACAACTAAGTATGCGAATTTTTAAATTTGAACTATACATTTTTTTGTGTCAAAGGTTATGTCACTTACAAATTTTTAATTTACACCACATAAATAAAACTCTAATTAGACTTTAAATTAAGGCTTATATTACTTGAAAATTTAAATTAGCAATCTTTATTTACTCACGTCGTCGATTGTGTATAATTTGCGATTCATCTTGTCAATTATTGCAATATTAATTCCAAGTGATTAATGTTAGGAGCAGTATAATATTTTGCCTCTTATGCAAACCTGTTGCTCGAGTGCATTCAAGTCCAGTTGAACTGCTGAACTGAAAAGTGATTAAAAAAGAATTACTTGCTGATATCCGACTCGCGTGCCTGCGCACATATAGCGTGATTTTAGCGCGAAAATTCTTGCCAATAGCTGAATAGGAGCATTCGAAATTTTATCGCGGATTCTAGTAATTGTTCATACTTGAGTATCGGAGGCGAAGAGTTAAACAATTGACGAAATCTTTTTTTTACGAGCCTCTTGAAGCTTCTTGATACGAAATCGTTGCCTTTGTTCTTCCCCTTGACGTTGCTATGTAATGTACGGTAAGGTTGAACAATAAGGTGTCAATAAGCTGTAGGATTCCCCGAATGACAACTTGATACGATGATAATCTAAGAATCGCAGTGACTTGAAGTCTGTATAGAAATACATTTATTTGCATATGCCACATTAAAATTAAAATATTTTTTTATGGTTTGTCAGTGTTCAATAATTATTAAATATTATTACTTAAAAATTTTTTTTTCTTTATCGAAATATAATGCAAAGAATCGTGTAGTAAATTAAGGTTGAAAAATAATGTTAAAACATCTCATTATAAGCTACACCAAGTTAATACTCACATTGTTAATTACTTCGAATTAATTCAGAATTTTTTTCTTTTCAAAATGTACGCCTTTAATGATATTGAACGCGTGGCACTTATGGGTCAATGTAGTCATCGCCGAAACTAAATTATACATTCATAAATGCACTGTATAGTACGTGCTTGTAAACACAAGTGCAGACGACTTGTCGGTGTAATATTCATTAACGAGTGCGTGTTTTCTGCTTGTTGTATAAACAGTGTAGCCTTTGGTTCATAATAATACGAAAAATAAAGTTTTCGCTGTCATTTGTAAGAATCATTTAACACAATGGGTATTCAGGGATTATGGACATATATGAATAATGCAGATATTCATTTGATAAATTATCATCTGCATAACACTTATCTGGTCATCGATGGTAATAGTATTTCCTCGCAATTATACTCTCGAGAAGCCAAAGGAAATGAATGTTTTGGAGGCGATTATGACAAATTTGCCTATTGTGTGTCGAAATTTTTTCAAGAATTACTGGATTGCAAGATCACACCTCTGATTCTCATAGATGGAGGATCGGAAGATAAAAAAATGAAAACTATTGTTCGTCGAACTCATGACAGAATATTATCAGCTTACAAAATGTCTCCAAGCCACAAAGTTCAGACTCCTGTGTTTCCTTTATTGATGAAAGAGGTATTCAAAGAAGTTGCTGCTAAAAAAGGTATCAAGTGCGTTCAGTGTTTATTTGAGGCAGATGAAGATATCGCTTCAGTGGCAAAATTATTAAATTGTCCTATATTAAGTTTTGATTCTGACTTTTACATATTTGATGTTATGTATATACCATTTTGTACCTTAGACAGAGGAACATGTAAAGCACCAAATGGTGGACTCATGAAGACTTGTAAATTGTTCAAACCTGACAATTTTATTCAAAGATTTCCAGGAATGGATAAATCTGTTTTACCTTTAGCTGCAACGCTTTTAGGTAATGATTACATAAAAAGAACTACTTTTAAAGACTTTTTCTTGACTTTAAAACTTGCAAAAGGATCAAAAAGAAAATATAATGTCCAGCAGCGCAGAATTGAAGCAGTATTCAAATGGCTCCAGAACCAGACATTAGATAATGCTGTAGCTATCATTTTAAGTAAATTAGATCCAAAAAGACGACCAAAAATTGTGGAAATAATAGAAATGATAATAAATGGATACCTAATTGCCTCTCCAAGAATGTTGTACTCTTTGGGATTCTCACAAGATTTTATTCAAGAAGCAATAAATAAAGTATCAATGAAACCCTATAAATTTTCACAAGATGTGTTTAATCTAAAAATTATTCAAGTTTCAACAGATGATGATGGATCTGATTTGAGTTTTGATGAAGATGATCAAGAGAGTACTCCTAATGATGACTTAGATGTGGTCCCATCTATAAATGAAAATGAATTACGAAAAAGAGCTCCTTCCTGGTTTATACAGGAATTTCAAGCATCAGAATTTCCATCTTACTTTATAGATATAGTCATGAGACATTTATATGTTTGTCCTGTACAAATAGAAGACTTTAGTCAAGCTACTTGCATTCATATTAGTTTAAAAATTATTCAAGTAATATTTAAATTATTAGCATCTGGTAATCCTGATGCAAATGGGTGGCAATATATCACTCGATCAGGATTCACAAAAATTAACACTTTTCAGCTAATGTGTAATGATGAAATCTTTGGCTGCAATCTTCCAAAACTTGAACAACTACGTAATCTTCCTCTTACAACAAGAAAAGAAATCATAGACAATATTCTTGGAGTTAATGATGAATTATTAAAAGAATTCCCACCAAATTGGAGATTGTACATAGCTACAATTAAGTTTTGGTCCAAAGAAGCTAATGCACAATTTGCAACCAAGCATCATATGCATACTCTTTTATTTACCATGTTATTTCATATAGTTGATAACAAAATTGGATTCATTAGATCTAAAAATTACTTAGACAAAAAGTATGGCAGTCGCTTAATAAATTTAAAATCTAATCAAAAAGGACAAAATCTTTCACTTTTGAAACTAGACATAAATATGCCTGTTCAGATAGCACAAGGTCTAATAGATTTTGATGACTGTTTATGTGCATTTTCGTTTTTCTTATCTAATTTCAGTATTGATAATGCTGTTCTTATAAATCCTAAAAAATTTCATATATCCGTTGTTCATGCATTTTCATTATTTCAAAACTGTTTGAGGCATACTATTCATTTGAATGCTTTGCTTGGATATCCATATCAATCTCCAAAAGTATCTGAACTTTTAAATGGAACTTTGTTGTACAATGTTTACAAAAATTTTAAAACTAGAACTAGTGTTGAAGATTATATCAAAAGTTTACTCCAACATTCAACTAGTTTATTACAATTATATGTTTCAATTACACAAGTTATGGAAAAGATGTGTCCAGAAGTATTTCATTCAACAGTTAGCACAGTTGTTAAAAAAAAGAAAAAAAATAAACGTCATACACATGATTCTAATTATGAAGAAGAGGAACAAAATGTTGAAATGGACTTTGAAAATGATGAACCATACTATGATGCTAATAATCCCTACTCAATGCTAGGGCAAAGTTAATATTGTTATATTTTAATATTTTATTTTTTACTTTTACAAAATAGACTATATTTGAAAAATAAATAAATATTTTGTAATATAATACACATGTATATAAAAATTGTGGCAATAAATAGATATATTTATTATTTAATTATTTACTTTATTTGTTCAAATTACATACAATTTCAGTTAAATCATTAAATAAAAAAATTAACAATACTTTTCGATTATTCTCATTAATTTCTAGAATTAATCAAAGGATACAATAACTTTTTTGGTAAAATCGTTTTGGAAGAATCAGAAGTATTGAAAAACATACAACTTTTATCTCCGTCTTCGTTGGACGAATTTTTAGAAGCCATAAGCTACTTGAAAGAAGCTGTAGATATATCATTTAATGGTAAACAGGTAACAAAAAAATCAAAAACTATTAGTATAATTCCAAGGCAGTTGAAAATCTGATCATTTTTTGGTTTAGGTCAAGGTCATAATCATAGATAGCTTGTCTATGCCAATTATTTGTAGCATTGATGATCCTTCAATCAGGCCAATTTATTTTTCCAAAGTTTTACATGACTTGAATTATATTGCAATCAAACATGACATAGCCGTAAGATCAATATCAAATCCACAAACTTTATTTAATGAAAAGACGTTTTATGTCACACTTGTAATATTTCAACTTTTAAAGATTGTTATTACAAATGAAATTGTAACCCATTCGGACAAAGACGGAAACTCGTCTTATGCATCAGCAGGTGGCCATTATGTTTCTGAAGTCGTTTTCAACAAATTGGAATCGACAAGAATAAGCGATGACAAGTTTGCGATTCGTCTACTAAAGAGTCCGATTATGCCTGAAATATCCGTCACTTTTTTGGTAGGCATCAATATAATTTACATTTAACAACATCTAAGATGTTCATATATATACATACAAAATAATTTTATTAACATTGAGATTCTATTTTTAAATTTTTTCTATCATTTTTAGATAACCGAAGACGGCGTAAGATCTGTTGAATCTTTTCGTCATAAAGTGTGAACAACATTTAAATAAACGATATAAAGGGTAACAATATAAAGTCGTTATCTAGATTCATAATTGCACTTTTTCTCGGAATACTTTCAATCTTCTGTGGAATTTCCTTCCACGAGTGACACTAACGTACGTTTGTAATCACCCGAAACGTCACCCTGAAATAGAAAAATTGTTCTTAAATTAATTTTTCTACAGGTAAATAGCATTGGTAAGCTTAAAAACGCCTTGAGCTGTAAATATTTTGTATAAATAAAGTCATTAACTTTCTTTCCATTTAACTCCGGTTTATTCATCATTAGGGTTTAACAATAAGTATAATACAATAGACAAATTACACCTTGCATATGTAGTTAAAATAAAAATATATTATATAAAAATAATGGTCATTTTTCAAAAATTTAATAAAAAATATAAATCAATTGATTATATTCGTTTCAATAGAAAGTCAGAAAGTTTTTTTATTCATTTGACTTGAATTGATCAACAATAATTTCATTGTACTGTGATTAAGATTCATTCATGGCCTTTGATATATCTACATAATTGAGTCATATGTACTCTTATACCCATTTTATATTGGTTTGTTCAAAAAAATTAAGTTATTAATTCATAAAAAACGTATTTTACGTTTGTAAGTATGTTTTGTCATTTACAATACGAAATTGTACATTGAAAAATATATAAAAATAAATAATTGGTACATTTTTGTAAATGTATGTATTCCTTTGATGTATAACGCACCAATAAACATGAAATCATGATTAACGAGACTGAAAATATATTCCATTATTTGTAAAGCTATCCATAAAAGTTAAAGAACTACGAATTTTAATTCAACATCTCTTAGTAATCAATCTTTCATGTAATTTTTGAGCATCGCCATTTAAATTGGTTTTTTTTTTTCTCATGAACACATTGATTAAGCACTGCACATATCGTATAAGCGTATTTACTGGTAAATATTTTTAAGACTCATTCGGCGCTATGCGATGATAAAGCGACTTTGTTACAGAGATCTAATATTAACTCAACAATTCTTGGACGTTTAAGAATTGTTTCGAGCATATTGCAGTAACTAATTTTTTTTGCGTTTTTTAATTCGATACGATCGAAAGCAAAGCTCTCTTATAATCGCCGGAAGTGTCACCCTGCAACAAACAAGAACATAATCTAGCTATTTCAGCCATCTAAATAAAAAATTATCAGGAATGAAAAGTTATAAAAAGCTCGATGGTAGAGACTCTTCGTTTATAGGTGTCAGGTTGAATGGAAAGTAAGTTAATCACTTTTTTAAAGTGTTTCGTGAAAGATAGCTATGCCGTCATTTGGACGTTCGATAATGAGATTAGCTTCAAAGATTATTCGTACAATAACATGAAATAACGCACAAAATAAGAGATAATGGAAAAAAAGAGACCAAGGGATAAAAATCATGTGGCACTTACGGCAATCCAGCTTTCCAGGGACTTTGAGTAGCGCTCCTCGAAGGCCTTTTTGATATCTCCCAGATCGATTTCGCTTCGCGAAACGACGATGCGAATCAAGGTGCGATCTTTCGTGCCGATTCCGTGCATGCTTGCGTACAGGCGCTCGGCGAAGAATCCAATTTTCGACTTGACGCACTTGACTGGAAGCAAAAGACTATTAGTATGTAGTTTGTAACAAAATAAATGCGTGGTGAGGTTGAAATTACCGATTCCAAGCAGACCCTTCTCGATACTGCCGGAGAATTCCTTCTTGATGGCGGTCTCGATGTCGTGACCGGAAATTTTCTCGTACTCGATGAAGGTTTGCCTGAGCTGCTGATAGCTGCGAGTCACGAGTATGGCATTAAATTGCGATTCGTCGGTACCCCATTGTTTTTCACCTTTTTAACGAATCCAATTAAAATTTAATCAATATAATGCGTGAATAGCACGTACAGGAAAAAAATAGGAAAAGTTAAGAGCTTGAGCATTACCAGCCTCGTAGAGAGCTTGAGCGTCGGCTTGGGCCTGGGCATGATCGACGCCCTGGTTTTCATCACGATTGGCTTGCACGAGCGAAACCAGCAGCCTCTTGAAGTGGCCGGAAGTGTCTCCTTTCAGATCGCTCTCCAAAGTTTTATGATAGACTGCGGATGTATAGAAAGGAAATAAGGAACTGGCCTTGGTTCGCGCAATTTGCATCGGTATAATTGCGAAACACATAATACATATATTCGGAATACAAAATCTATATTCGCGTGTACGATTCGCAGAAGCGAAGGCTCATCGCCTGCTGTGTGTGTTATATGTATTATATATAGCGAGCACGTTAATGTGGCAAAAGCATCGATGACATCACTTTAGCTGGGGCTATACAGCATCCGTCATAAGTAGACACGCGCTAGTAAAGTCAGTCATGATGCTTGCAATTACATAGCGCAACTAGTATAGAATATAGTAGAAGAGCCAATTCGTCGAGCTTCATTTTTGCAGTCTCTGTATAATAGCTGTACAATAGACTCGTGCGATTTCTTTCCCTCTCTCTCTACAACTACTATCATCTATTGTCTACATCATTGAATACAATATTCGCTTCAAGTTCACGCAGTGCGCATAAGTTGCGAGTGTGGAATTCTCAAGTATGCAATAAACATCATGGTAACCAGCAACATAATCGCACGAGCATCGATCTCATCAACGAAGGTGATTCATCGCGTAAACAGCTCGTTTACGCATTGCGAAATGCTCTCGCGAATAATAATAATTTTTTAAAAAAAAAAGTTGACTCAAAGACGTTGATTGTCATCGCGAGTCGCATCGTCATAATTATAAGAATAAGCATTCTATGTAATACCATTCTCGTAGAAAGCGGCGATGGTCCTGATGCCGTAATTGCTGAGGGTGCAGAGGATCTCGACGAGGGCCTCCTCGTCGGTGCCCAGGCCCTGGATGGCGTCGTGCAGCTCCTTGGCGTAGTAGTGGGGCAGCGGCGTCATGAGCGCCACGATGACGTCCTCGAGCTTGCCCGAGAGCTCGCTCTTGAGGTCGTTGATGAGGTCCTTGCCGTAGAGGGTCTTGTAGGCCTCGGCGATCTCGAGGCGCTGGACGATGCCGCGCTTGGTCAGCACGTCGATGATGGCCTTCTCGTCGGTGCCGATGCCCTTCATGGCCTTGCGCAGCACCGCCGCGTCGGCGTTGGCGTCGAACGGATCGGCCGGGTAGACCGTTGGCGTGCACTATGCAACAGAAACGACGACGAAAACGTCAAAAATCGTGAACAAAAAAAAACATATTTCTTGTGCTCTTTGAACGAGTCGTTAAAGTACGCCTCGTGGCGAGAGCTTGGGTGTCCGTCATCGATCGTAGTTCGGCGCGCATATTTCCGATGCTTATTTTTTAACGTAAAAATATAAATGATCGCAAAGTTGCTGATCTCTCCCCAGGCCGGGCGGTTCCAGTTAAGTGTTTACAAAAAAAATTGTTTATCGATCGCACGTAACGCGTTTGATAAAATTGCTAAACCGGCGTATTACATCCCAATTGGTATTTCGCGAAATGATATATTGGTCGCGCACACACCTTATCCAAAAATAAACCTTGAAAAATATCGAAGAAGCGAAAGTAACGTTGAAAAGAAGTATAGAAAAAGAAAAAAGTTGAAAAGTATGTCAAGAATGACGCATAAATAAGCGGCGATGGCTCTTGCCGCATATGTGCGAGCCATAGACAATGCGAAAGATCGCTCGATTATTATCGTTAATATTATTCACTGTGCACTCGGTAAAATTTCGGATAGCGATAAATTTCAAGAGCAGACAAATTTCGCAAAACGTTAAACGATGTACGCATGAAAAGACAAAAAAAAAAGTGAAATTTAAAACTCACCTTGAATGGATAGTACTGTTGTTGTGACATTTTGACAGTATTGCCGATGCTTGGGACTTGGTTCACGTTAATCTGAAAATAGTCAGGCAAAAAAACGTTGATTAAATCTTGCGCGCTACAGCCTTGCTCCTTCCTTCCCCTTACAAATATATTCGCGAAGGATAAAAATAATTACAATGGGAAAAAGGTAGTACTTAAACTCCTTTATTTATATGGGTTAGCTAGTATCGATTTCTCGAATCGTAAATGTATATAAGCGGGTCAGAGGGGACTAGACGCGCTCCGCAAAGTATACTGCCGGCGGCTTGTGCTGCTGCTGCAGTCGCCGACACACTGTACACACTCACGCTCACACGCACGCACACATACACACACACATGCATTCAGCGTGTAATTATACGCAAGAGATCAGTCATGGTCCTTTTTTGATTGTGTTATGTACACACACACACACGCGCGCGCGCCGCGATATACACTTTTATAAATTGATGCCAGAAGACGACGCAGGTCACACGTCCGCACAACAATAATATGTACGAGTAATGTATAGAGAATCTGTCACTCACACACGAACGATTGAGAAAATACAAAGTGTACACAGGCACAAATAAACGAGAGAGATAGTTGGACCGAAGACGCACGCACATACACTCGGCACACATATACTCTCGCGCTCGACACACAGTAAAAATCGGAGCAATCGAACCGCAATGCTACGGTATTATTTGGTCCTGGTAACGCACATTCAAAAGCGCCCAAAGTTCGCCTAATAAAGATGTGCTCAGCGCGCGATCAGCGATTCGAGATAATCGAACGATTACGAATTTAGCGAGAACCGGCTAATCACCTCTATTTATGTGTACGATATCTATATAGTCTATATATATATACCGAGGCATAAATTCAACGCTAACGCGACGTATAGAGAAGAAACTCCGAACTTACCGCTGTGACGGGCTGCGACTCAATGACTGGTCACACCCACGGTTCGCCGCAGCGACCAAGGCAGAGCTATAGCCGCGCTGCTCTGCGCTACTCCGAAACCTTTCGCACTTTTTTACCGCGTACAATATACCTATATCTATATTGCGGGTAATCGAGAACGCGTAGTGGTGGTATGCATATACGCGCACCGACAAACACACACACACACACACACACGAGGCTCGTATAACGTTAATTTAACAATATAATATATCTATATATAGATATCGCGCGAATGACGTACGGAGCACGAGAGGCGACGAGAGATAGACGGTGATGCTTACGGGAGCGTGTAATTTTGCACGTGATTTTTAAATTACTCGCGCTGCTGCCGCTGCTGATTGTGGCTGAGCACGGCGCCTATTTCATATGTACGTGTGTTGCAAACTTTCGGTCTGCATTATACGTGAATATAATAATGAACGCCATCGCCATCAGACCAGAGCTGTAAACCAGAATTTCGTAAAGATTATTTTTAGGCAACGCGTAAAAGCCAGTGAACCACGTTAATGGGCGGCCGGCGAAATTCTCTTGTGTATAAAATACTTTTCAAATTCTCGATGCACAACCTTCGATTTCGTGCGATCGAGCCCAAAAATCGCAGCGAACGATTACAAACATTTCGAGAACGATCGACAAGATACAATTCTGTGTAGAATATAAGCAGAGAGTCGGAGCATTCGAATAAACCAACCTCATTATTGTTGTCGGGTTTTTTTAAAGCTCGTTCTGATTTACGATCGTTTCTGCTTTTACTCGGAAAATCAGAGATCAAGACGAAACAAAGTTTAAAAGCGCGTCTGCGTCTATATATGTGTGTGTGTGAGTGCGCGTGCATAAATGTAAACAAGCTCACAAACAAACGTAGATGCCTATTTTTACTTATTACATCCTTGCTTATGATTACTCCTATCTTATTACCATATGATCCATCATTATGGAGTAAAAATAAGAGCTGACGATTTTACGCCGAGTTATATAATAACAATGACATCGAGTGTGATAAGGAAAACAATATTTCAATTTAGTTGTTCTTCCTTGTTCTAAACTGTGACTACGCTGAAATTTTCCTCCGTATCATTCAGTTTTTCGGATTTATAATTTTACAATTATTTGTTATTTTCGTTGTAAAATAAACGACGTATTGATCATGACCCATCCTTCAAACGCTCTCAAATATTTGGATGCGATTGCAAATTAAATATCTGACTCTTATATAGAGATAAGGATGCATTATTAAATATTGCGCACCGACTCTCCTGCTATGCCATTCGACCTACTGCGCTCGAACGCATCGTTCGGAGTCGCGGCGAGCCCGAATCACACCTCAACACGCAATGCCTAACCGAGCGCTCGTCTGTTTCCGCTCGTGTTCGGTCGTCTGCGATGAAAACAACGTGGCAGCATGTGCGCCGATGTATGTACATTATCTATAGTTGGTTTTTCGCACGGCACAAGCTCGGTACACGAAGAGTCATTCCTACTTGCCCGTTTCGCTCTTGTGCGTGTAAACAAAATAAAAGAAGGAAAAAATTGCATTTTGAGAATGATATTGAAGTTTATGCAACTTAATTCAGTCATCTTTCGTGCAAGCAAGAACTGAAGCTGTCCTTCGATTGCTCTGTCATTTTCAACTAGCAGCAGCGTCAGTCACAAAATCGGAAACTGCCGAACATGCGGGTAGAACTACGGTGTGTAGTATACACGCAACTCACTGCCACTATAGTCGTTCAGTAGTGACATGACGTGGACTTACGCGATCGAACGAATGAATTACCATAATCATCATTTATAATATTTGGATAAGAGCAGCTGTCAATGTCTGCTACAATATTGTGCACATTTTGTGATTGAAGAGGTTAAGGTATTATAGGTTGTCATAAACAGCTGGTTCAAAATCTACTGCTTGAAACAAGTCTCTGCCTTTAAATAAAGCACACTATCAGTGGACTGCATGCATGTAATCGTTGATGATCTACTTGATTTGATAGCAGAGCGTGTGTGCATGTGTCACACACTGCAGCTTAGCTACTATTGATTGAAGATAATAGAGATAATACATGGTAGTAGGAGGAAAGAGGAAGAGTGCAAAAACCAAGATGCGGAGACGAGCAGATAGGGATTATGAGTACAACCTTATGGAGGAGGCTGTCGAGCTCGGCGAGCAACAGCCTGTGCCACAGGGCCAAATTGCTGAACAGAAAAGCAACATCAAAGGAGATGAAAAGAATATTGCCATTCTATTATTTTTGTATCTCCTCCAGGGGATACCCCTTGGATTATGCAGTTCCATTCCCATGTTGCTGCAAAACCGAGGTGTCTCTTATCGTCAACAGGTAGAGTTTTAACTAAGATTTTTATAAGATTTTTATAAATAATAATCTATAATTTTATTTAATTCAGGCTGAATTCAGTTTTGTAATGTGGCCATTTTCTATGAAACTACTTTGGGCTCCAATCGTTGATGCAGTTTTTATACCAAAGTTTGGCAGAAGAAAAACTTGGCTTCTACCCATTCAATACATTATGGGAATTTTCATGTTATATTTGTCCAAACATGTAGATAATTGGCTAGGAAAAACGGAGGGCCATGAATTAAATATTGGCTTATTAACAGTGCTATTTTTTGCTTTAAATGTTCTCGCTGCCACCCAAGATATTGTCGTGGATGGCTGGGCTCTTACTATGTTAAAGAGGTTTGTGATCAATTTTTATTTTAATAAGAAAATTTTATAAAACAAACTAAGAATTTTTGTTTGAAAATGGTTGCAGGTGTAATGTAGGATATGCATCAACCTGTAATAGTGTTGGGCAAACAGCTGGCTTTTTCCTTGGCTATGTAATTTTGATGGCTTTTGAATCACCAGCATTTTGCAATGCCTACTTGAGGTCAGTGCCATCAGATGAAGGTCTCATCACACTTCCAGGTATTCATTGTGATATAATTACTTTCCTTTGTGTACACCAGTAAAATTTAACTTTTGAACATGTTTTTAGGATTTCTTTACTTTTGGGGATGTATTTTCATTGTAGCTACAACTTTTATTGGAATATTTAAACGAGAAGATGCAGAAGCTTGTCCTAAAGATGAATCACTTAATATCAAAGAATCATACCAGATGTTATGGTCTACAATGAAATTGCCAAACATAAAATTGATAATATTAATTCTCTTGACTTCTAAAGTATGTTGATATTTTGTTCTCAAAAATCAAAATACAAGTAATATGTTAAAAAAAACATAATGGATGATTATTTTTATATAGATTGGATTCTCAGCCAGTGATGCAGTAACTGGTTTAAAAATGGTTGAAGCTGGCATTCCAAAAGAAAAAATTGCATTAATGGCTGTTCCATTAATACCATTACAAATTCTATTACCAATATTCATATCAAAATACACAGCAGGACCCAAGTCTATGAATGTTTTCCTCAAAGCTTTGCCTTACAGGTAAATTTTTAGTTTAAGAAATAGGATTGGATAATTTTATTTTGAATTTACACAAATTTGACTTTTTACAGGTTGATTTTTGGTTTAGTGGGCACATTATTAGTTTGGGTCACTCCATATTTTGTTTCCAATGGAGAGGTACCCCTTTACTTCTTTGGTATAATCATAGCATTATATCTTCTTCATCAAGTAAGTTAAGAATTGAAAATTTTTTCATTGGTGGTTACTAACAATAAGGAAGGAAAATTTCCACAATATTAAACTTTTTTAAGTAAATTTATTGATAAGACTCGCTCTAGATCTGAAACTGTGATTATTAACTGATATGAAACTCTTGATGTAACTCCATATTGTCAAGGTGGAAAAATTGCATTCATAAAAAATGTCTTTCAATGAATGTAGAGTTTTCATGTTTTTAAAAATAATGACTTAAAATATTGTGCATTTTTAAAATTACACTTTTGAATGAAGAATTTGAATTGGTATTTTGTATGATATAATCAATTAACTATGTTTTCAGGTTTGTGCAAGTTGCATGTTTGTTGCAGCTATGGCTTTCTTTGCCAGAATAAGTGACCCTGCTGTTGGAGGAACTTATATGACATTTTTGAATACTTTGAGCAATCTTGGAGGTAATTGGCCTTCCACAGCAGCTCTATATTTTGTAGATTCTCTAACAAGTAGACAATGCAGTAATGATATTACAAACATTTGTGGTTCTGATGATCAAAAAGCAGTGAGTTATTACTTTTAATTAAAATATTAGTCAAATTTTATTACAACAAGTAATACTCAAATTGTTTTTAGGCTTGTGCATTAACTGGTGGCACATGTAAAATAACTCTGGATGGATATTATATTGAGAGTATTTTGTGTGTTATCATTGGATTTGTTTGGCTCAGATGGGGTAAAAGAAAAATACAGTATTTACAAGATAGACCGTTATCTACCTGGAAAGTAGTTAGACAAAAATCATAGCTCATTATTGTCTAGCATAAGAAATAAAATTGTTTAATTGTTTTATATTTGTTTCACATTTACAAAATAATTAAGGTGAAAATTGGTACGAATGCATTTGATTTAATACAAGAACATCTGCTCTTGCATTGATTTAAAGATTGCACAATCAATTTTTATAACAACATTTTGTAAAGTTAGAAAATCTTGTAGCACATTGAACATTGTCTAAGCTTCCGCTTTTTACGATATGATTTTGTTATTACGTGAGATGATTATCACCGAAGTTTTTCAGAATGAAATAACAAAAGGTTCATTATTAAATAATTTTAGAAAATTAATGCTATTCTTTAATGTTAAAAATTGTAAAATAGCTTCCGTCAAATACGTTCCTGGAAGCGTAGGAAATTGCGATACAGATGCAAAAAGAAACCCGCTTCTGTATTGTGCACTATTTAATTATAAAAGTACACAAAATTCAACTTTCCAAACGTACAAAAAGTTGAATTCACTGCACGTGGTACGAAAAAAATATTTTTTAATTTATTAATTTTAGGATTAATCAGCACTTGAATAAAAACTGTGATTGGTGTGCTTGTTGATGACTTTAGTATTTATCGATTACTTACATTCAAACAATATGTTCATACTGTAATTGACGGGAATATGGAGTACAAAATTGTATTAGTTGATTTCGATACTAGAAGTAATTTGTGCAAATGACAAGTTATTGTAAAAAACAAGATATCTTACAAAGACTGTTGAAAACGATTATTTATGAAAAAATGTTGATTCCATATTAATATTAGAGTATTGTATATAATACACATCATAATTTTATTTATTATAAAAAATATGAAGAGAATATTGAGTTGTTTTTTCCTACAAATAAAGCTCATACTCATTTTATGGCTAATGAAAATTTTGATACATATTTTCTGGGATTTCGTTAAATTAAAAAAAAATTGTTAGTGGAAACCTCAAAAAATATGTTCGAAAATAATCATTTCAGCCTAATTTCCACAAAACACAAATGATTTATTTAAGGGATACTAATCATGAATGAATTGAAGATAAAAACTCGTTGATGAATTAGTAACTTCCAGATAAGTGCACAACGAGATGCGCCGAGTCGTTTATCTTACAATGAATTAGAAGCGAACAAAGGACATTATACGATACTTTACCCTTGCGAAGAATAATAATAATAATAAGCGGGCGTGTACAAAACGTTATCAAGCACAGCATTTCGTGCGATTGGTGAAACTTTTTAATATGTGTGATGGTTTTTATTGCTGCGAGAGAGCAGCAGATGTATACATACGCATAAATTCCAAAGAACTTGAAACTGGTAAAAAAATGCCAGTATATATCAGAACGGTCAAGCATTTCGCCGACTTGTATTACGAATCGCTCTCGTCGCGGGGCCCGCGATCTCTTTCCGAGGCGTAATTTAATCGCAATCAACGGCTTTTTCAAGAATAAACACTGGTATGAAATCGTTCGAAACCTGCGGTATTTTTCGATCGCTTCTGATTTAGATGGCTGTTTTGACGTTTCGATGAGCGTTACTTCTAGTTTTCATTTACGTGGATTTTCAGGACACAAACTTATGGAGGAACGATTAAAATTCGGGGTGATTACGTACTTGTGCTTCGCTGGCTTTTTTCTTCTCGCCGCTCTGCTGCAGAAACGCTGCGTATCGAGAAAACAGTCTGGATGATCGTCTTTCGTTTTTATTATCCATCGCGTGCGTACTTGTCCAACTCGGCAGCATGTAATAACCGTACAGCTCGAAGAAATAAAAAATTAATCGATCAATTGTTTCTTTTTTTTTTATTGCTAAACACACACTGGAATAAGTTAATGGCACTTTATCACTGAGTGCCCGACGAAGCAAGTATATTTCACACTTAGTCAGCTGCTGAGAACGAAAGTCGAGCACATGTCGCAATGTTTACACACGTCAGATGCAAGCATTATTTTATATTCAGTTCGGTCGCCGATCGCGTTTAATATTATTGGTATAGTGCAAAGGAAATGTCAGAGAGGCTCGTTGCCTATTATAGGAGGTTTTGGTTTCAGCGCTTTGTCCCCACCATGTATGCGCAACGCCGTTCCTTGGATAAGAAAATTATCTGCACGCGCGTTATATATATTTACACACAGTTCGCAACAAGTCGCGCTCTCCAATGAGTTTATCGCACTGCAGCACGAGACTCGATGACTGTTGCTGCTGCTGCCGGCGATGCAGTTAGCTGCCGCGAAGGGACACAGATGGCGCGACTGGGGCCTGTCACACGGTTTGCGCATTTTTTGCCTGTGCCCGAGCGAGCTTATATCGGTGAAAATCGCTCGATGCCGACGGTGTCGCGTAGGCTTTTCAATTTTTAAACATTACCATACGAGCATCGAGTTTCGAAAGTCTAACGCGATTATAGGAGAGATAAATGGCTTACGCAACGATAGATCGATCGTAATCTCGCCATCAAATTAGTAATTATAAAGATTTGAATATCAACGACTACATTTCGAATCTTGACTCGATTTTGAAAATGAACATCGGTTGCTGCCTCGAGTCGCATTCGAAATTCGGTTACTTTTCAAAGTATTGGTCAACTCGCAGTCAACGAACAGGTGTCGAAAAGCAAGTCATCGGTGACCAATGTAAGTGCGAAAATACATATGCTTCGAATTCGCGGCTTCTAGGATACGGCTAGCAGCGAGGGAGCGACTACATTCGCTGCCGGCTACATCGATACGTTCGCCCGACGAGAGCGCAGTGCTGCTCCGCACGCATACATTGAACTCCGCGCTGCTCCGAAATGTGTGTACTGTGTACACATCGGTGTTGCACTACACGTACATAGAAACAAGTCGGAGCGTCGAAGCCGGTGACTAGGAGCCAATGTATACAACAACACAAACGAATCGCGCGCCTGTGTCGGTGCCGCTCGCTCTCCTACCAACAAGTATCCACTATACATACACCAATACGTCCTGTGTGTTGGTGCGCTGCACTTCTATATGCAGCGCACCAACACACAGGACGTATTGGTAACGTTGCGAATAAAACGGCAAACGTGTATGTGTTCGCGTGCGAGAGGTCTACATGGGTGTGCAAGAAACTCGGAGCGCTGCCTGCCTGCCTGCCGCTGGTACGGCTCTCTCGCGCTCTCGTCGAGTAGGGGAAATACCAAGCGGATGAGGAAAGCCGCGAGGCCAAAGGCATAATACAGCGCAGCAGCGGCAGCGCTGAGGCCAGCCAAGCTGCCTGCCTGCCTGCGCACGACACAGCTAGCTTGCTAGTAGTCAGTCGGCTAACAGCAGCCGTGAGTCCATCTGCGTTCGCGAGCGCGCGCCGCCCCCCCTCGTCGCCCGACCCCGTGCGCGAGCCAAACTTTTCAGTTTTTGTATACCATTTTTGATGTGTCGTTTTGATTAATAATTCCGTGACTGACGTTACATCCTTCGAGCTGCATCCTCGTTCGTATACAACTCCCACTGGTCGCACGTTCGTCTCTGTGTACGAGTGTATAAATGTATAATATCAATTCTGTACTGTGAGTTCGAATGGTGCTGCGCTGTGTCGCGACTCTCTCTCTCTCTCGTTCGCGATCGCGTATTATCCTTTCCCGTGTGTACATCAAGCCTATGAGTGTGTGTACATACGACTCGCAGGAGCGAGAAAATATCTGTGAACTCCGAATCTCGAGACACCAAGTATAAACACATACATTCACACACTCACACACGTTGATGCTGTGCGCCGCTATAATGTAACGCTGTACAATTGATACACAGCTACGCATAGACGCGACAAGATATTTCTCTCGATGAATTGGCAATGAACGACGTGAACTCTCGTCGTACATTTAAACTGGTGCCGATGCAACATCGCTGCGACGACGATCATCCGACTGTCGCCGACTCCGGATCCGAGAGACACATATCCTCGGGCACGAGAGGATGAGCGAGAATCCGACAACTTTTCCCGCTACTCCGAAACATACGTACATCAAGACGAAGACGAAGAAGAAGAGTATATAAGTGTATAGGAGAACACGAGTATATAGTGATCGTGTGTAAGTGTGTTGTTGTGCCGCTCCGTATATAATACATGATAGTGCTCCGAAAGTGACGAGAGTTTTGCCTTTAAAATCGCGTTGCCGCAAACTTGGATATTATATTTATACATAAAATTCGTATGTATATATGTGTGTTTGTGTGTGTCGTCTGTGAGCGTGTGTGCGCTGTAAACGAGTCGCTCGCAGCAGCAGCAACAGCAAGTGATAGGTGCGAGTGCGTGTGCGAATAAAGCAAAGAAGGATACAATAAAGAGAGGAGTGTGTGCGAGAGAGAAAGAGAGTGAGAACGTGCGAGGGAAGGACGAAGATGGCTGCGAGGCTCTCCAGGCAGGTGCTGTGTGATGCTTCGAGCCTCCTCCTGCTGCCGCTGCCACTACTCGCTATAATGCCGTTCAACAGTATATCGTAGTCGTCTGTTTGTGTATATATGTGTACATATATATATAATACATAAATGCATGTCTGTGCCGCCGCCGCAGCCTCGACGTCCGTATGTGTTTACCCACTACGATACCCGCTACATGCATCGAGCAGCGCCGATTATACATACGATATTTCACGCACACACAAATACACACACAAGCTCGTTGTCGTACGAGCTAAAGGTGAATAAGCCCAACGAGTAAGAAGAGAGAGAGACAAGGAGGCGAAAGGAAAGAGAAGAAAATAACAGGGAAAAAAAAGGAGCCAAGGAGTCGTGAAAAAGGCTAAAAATCCCTACGACTATGCTACGACTGGAGAGTATTAAGGCAGCTCTCTCCTCAGACTCTGCCAGGATGACGTATGAACCGAGATGCCTGCTACTGTTGTTTCTGCTCTTGTTCGCCGAGGTGAGTTTTCAAATAGTTTTTTTCCTTCTTCTTTTATTATTACCTTCTTTCTTTCTTTTTTTTTATTATTATTTTGACTCTTCTATCGCTGTTTTTACTCCTCTTTGTTTTAACCGAAGAAGAGAGAGAGAGAGAGAGAGAGAGAGAGAGAGAGAGAGAGAGAGAGAGTAAAAACAAGTTCTTTCTCGCAATTTATCTTATTTTTCATTTTCATCTTACTTTCAATCTTTCCGGCGACTAGTCGGAGAGAGAAACACCTGCGTAATGTTAAACTTGGCCAAGTCGATGGATATCGCTTGATTTTTATTGTCACCCTATGCTCCGCTTTGCGGAGAGCTTTAAATCGAACGTTGGTACGGAAAACGTTGCTCGATGCCTCTATGTATTATGCATTCCACGTAGAATTAAGTGCTTTTTTATTCGCCTAAATATTTGATTTTCCATTTCTTTCCAGTCGCGCGGCGCGCCCGCTGCGTCGAGTGGGTTGGCTAGCGTATAGCATGTGAACGGGTTTTCCTCTCCTTTTTGTTAGTGTTGGATTCTGGAGGTTGTCGAACTGGAGTGTCATCGAGAAAAAAAAATACAACGAAAACAATTGTCGAATACGATTTTAACAGTAATAATGCATCGAGCGCGTATATTTTTGCATTCGGAGCGCTCGACGTCAACGAACGCGCCCCCGCGCCGAATCAACGAAAGTTTTCAGCGTTAACGAGCATAATTCGTTTCCGCGCGCGCCGTTATTACGCGCGAAAAACAGCTTTATCGATCTTCATTTTTCTTTTATTTTCGTTCATTCGAGGCCTCGTATAGAAAAGCTCTCGAACGCACAGAGCGCTTTGTGCTGCTTTTCCCATATAATAGAATTATTCGCCTTCGTTTTTTCTCATTTTCTTCTTGCTCGCTTGTACGTACGTATGAGCGTACTGCTATATACGAGCGCAAGAACAACAACAACAACAACAACAAAACGTACACCGTAAAAAGCTGCATCAGCAGCAGCGGCAGCGGAGGGCGCGCGAAATAACTTTTTTTATGTGTACACGCGCGCGCGTATCGCTCAGGTATAAATATACCGTAATGCATTGTGTGTGTGTGTGTGTGTGTGTGTCTGGTGCACGGCTGCGTGTACTCATGGGCGGCTATAATAAAGTCTAGTTCATTTCACACGTAAACAAAGCGTCGTCGTCGTCGTCGTCGTGCGGGTAGTATAGAGATTTTTCGCTTGTACTGCACTAGGCTATATCGAGAGTACAGTACGTGAGAGGCTTAACGAACGCAGAGCTAGCTGTGCGTGCGAGACTGCAGCTGAGCTCGGGCGACTTTTTCTCTTCCTCTTCTTTTCTTTTTCCCGTGATATTATCCTTGCACCGAGATAATGCGGCGGAGGTCGCGGTTTTCAGAGAAAGCGTAAAGTAGCAGCAGCGGCGGCGGCGGCGCAAGGAAGAAAGAGAGCTCGGGCTAATTTCGAGCTTTTGTGAGATTATGCAAATGCTCGCGAGCGCTCTATCGCTCGTACGTGCAGCTGGGGTTTCGCACGGCACACAAAAGCTCGCTAACAGTATAAGACATCGACCCGCCAACTTCATCTTTTCCGAGTTTTACCATGGGCGAAAATTTTGCATCGCGTGTGCGGCGTACGCTACACACGATTATCGTGCTCGAAAACCAGGAGCGGGAGGGAGAGACGAAAGTGCGCAAACACTCGCGAGGCCGATGCCACCGTACCAGCAACAGCACCCTCTCGACTGTACAGTTCAATTGCATCATCATCATCATCATCATCATCTTGAACGCGATAACAGACGCTGACAGCGAATGAATGAACGTAAAGCCTGCCACGGGGGGGACGCGAAGGGGGAGAGAAAGGTGTGTGCGGCTTTTACGCGCTCGTGAAATATTTGCAATCGGTCGTGCGAGCGCCCGATGCACGCAGTCAAAAGAGCCTCTGCCTCGCTCGTTCGCTCGCTCGTGCACCCTCGCATGCGTAGATATAGGTACGATATAACGCATACAGCGCGTTGCACCGTATATATACACTAGACTAGAATGCAGTCATCGTCGCGCGATCGTGCATGGCTCGGCCATTGGTCAGCAGCAGCGGCAATTTTATACAATACACAAAAACGATGTGCGCCAGAGCTCGCTCAATTATATGCGCGCGGAATATTTGCACGCTTAGCTCGTGACCAAAGACGAGCCGAGCTGGAGGGAAGGAGAAATCAATGCGTTCGCAGCTCTCCTACTATATATACAAGACGAATACATGTGTGTATTTACAATTCGCGCAGCGTGCATTACGGGCCGCATCGTGTGGTGACTAACGGCTCCAGAGAGCTCAGCGCGAGTGTGTTTATACGCTGCTGCCTGCATATGCACGCGCGTATGTAGCATCCATGCGCAAGTATTTACCCGTACTTATAATATACGCGCGTTTAATGCGCATTTACAACTTGACTTCGCGAGAGAGAGAGAGAGCGAGAGAGCAAGAGAGCAAGACAGAACGAGACAGAGAAAGCGAGTCGAAGGGAAAAAATAATGAATATTGTGCGAGCCTATAAGTACGCGTGTTTGTGTGTATGTACCTGCATGCATATAGCAACGGTTATGCGCTTTTACAGTTATTTTATATGTATACTTGTGTACGCTATTCGCGCGTGATAGAGTACGCACACGTTATAATGCCGCGCATAGAATATATCGTCGACGATAACGATCGATCCTGTGGATTATAAGTATTACGAGCTCGCGCGACGATCGAAGGATCAAAGGATCCTGCGTATGGAAGTGCACTTGCCAAGACTGCGTCGACGGCGCGAGTCTATTCAGCAGCATAAGAGCCGCTGGTCACCTCTTGCGATTTGGAATTTTCTCTGGCGCGATACTCGAACGATCGCTTACCGCTCCTGCGTACATTAGCAGCCACGCGCATGGATTTCTTCTCTCTTTTTTGCGCGCAAGAGCGAGACTACTTGTTGTCGTTGTAGCGATATCGATGCCCAAAAAAAGAAGAAGTGAAAAAAGCAAAATAACGAAACTTGAAATTCTGGTTTCTGCAAAAATTTTCCTTCGATACCGCGAGGCGTGAATATGCGCGAAATGTGTTTTATTTTACACATATTCTTACTTTTATCATCCTCGGTTGCGCGATGTACATCGGCGATCCGGTGCGTATCGCGGAATTTTCGTTTGTTCGCAATTTCAAACGAAACAAATGCCCTAAACGTCCATATCCGAATTTTATTTTGTTTTTCATTTTGTTCGATGATGTAACGAATACATTTAATAATAAAAAAAAAAAAAAACAATTGTATCATCTCGCTTGTTCGGAATTCGGCGAGTTATAATAGACTCCGATGTACGAATTAGCCGCTCTCGTGCACTGCGTTTTCATGTAATACATAGGATCGACTCGCTGTATACATGTAGCGCGCAAAATTGTTACGTGCGGCCTTGCGATATGCTCGATAGTTTCTATTATACCAGGTGTTACGAAAAGAAAATAATAATCTTCGCACGAGGCGAGTCTTAATTACATTTCGCTTCGAGATACGCGTTATTTCGTTGTTGCTGTTGTCAGGAGCGCTCTATATCACGCTTATACGCAGAGGCTATCGCTCGGTGTCAAAAATACACATAAGACATTTCAACCAAGAAGTGCGTCTCTTTCTTATGCTGTATCTAATCGAATTGCACTTAAAAAAGTTCCAAGTTTTTCATGCTCCAAAAAGAGAAGAAAAAATATTGAACGTAAGAAACGGAGCTCTCTTAAAAACCAGGCACCAAAATGGACGATTACCTCTTCACATACAACGAGCGAATAGTCACGCTTCATTCTCGAAATGCACTTCTCATTTTTTCGTTCCATCGAGCTCGTATTTCAAAAACATGCGAGATCAGCTCTCCAGTATATAGCAGACGCTCGCGTGTATATAAACATTTATAATACGCACTCATCCGACTTGGTAACCGGTTGGTGCATAGGCACAAAAAAAAAGAGCGGCTATACAACATCGTGGCCACGCTTGCGAAACAAAAAAAAAAAAAACGAGAAAAAAGAGAAAAACAAAACGCTCACACACGATGCAGCTCAGCAGCAGCAACAGCGGCTCGTGCTCGCACACGCGTTGATAATATTACGGAGAGTGCGCATATATAGACTAGAGTTACACGCACATATATAGCTAGGTGCATAAGCGCGTGGCACATTGGCAACGCGTACGTACACATAGCTTATAAAATCCTTATCAACCTGCGCGGCCGATTTTTGCCATTTTTATAATTCAGAAGAGAACGCCGCGCGCCGCTATGATATTTTTTTCCTCTCACCTTCGTCGAGTTTCAATGAAATTTTTCTGCCGCGATCCGTAAGCTTGTGTGTAGCGGCAAAAATATTATTGATCGCGCGTGTGTGTGCGTATGTACGTGAATGTGTATTATAGCTGTACGCGGGAGCCCGAACGACTGTATCGTTGGCTTTTCGAGTGAGAAAGACGCCAAAGAGATATAATACTTTCTCTTTTACGTATATATCTGTATGTGTGTGTGTACTCGTTTGGTATGAACGAAATATATGTATATAGGTATACATACATACATATGATATGCGCGCGTTCTCGCCAAGTGACGACGAACGCTCCGGGCTATGGAGTGTAACTCGTTTCACGTACACTTCCAAAGATTCTGTATATATCTACCTGTGCATTAAAGCACTAACCTTCTGTTGTGTTATTGCGACTCTTTTCTCGGCCTCCTTCTTTTTTCTTCCCAACGAAATTCGTCTAACGAACGCGTTGGAAACATTTTTATAGTTATACATCGTACGTTACACCCGAGTGCAACAAAGAAATACTCGTTGAACTGAAAGTATATAATGTCAAGCCAAGACCAGGTGCAGCAGAAATATTTGTAGTTGCTGGAAATTGTAGGGGTCGTGCAGATAACTCGTATCGTAAATAAACTTGTATTATACTCCATAATACTCAATTGTAATCGATACA